ACCTCCAGTAACACCGCCCAGGATGACACTGGGTGTATTTTTAGCAGCTACTTCTCTGTACTTCAGCTTGTGGTCTTTAAAAGCCATCACAGTCAGGATTAATTAGAGAAAGATAATGCCAGTCTGAATGCTGCCTTTTCAAATTCAAAATCCATTTTGGGGAGTGGAAAGGGAGCCTAACACTGAGGTGTGTGTGTGTGTGTTTACCATCTATAAGACATAATGCTGGGCACTTGTTATTGTTAATGTCCTGGCTGTTTCAGTTGGTTGAGGCCCTGCTGTGCACTAGACATACACGGCCCCAGGGTCATTAATCATTGGTTTTACACATAAACAAAGGCTGGGAAATTGGACAACTTGCCCAAGATATGGAGTCCCAATTTAAACTCATAGGTCTTGGCCCAAAGCCTGTGCTCTACCACTATATTGTATTGCCTCAGAAAAATGCAGCCCATTATCAAGAGTTAAGTCCAAAGTGAGACTCCCCAGGGCCAGCTGGTAGGGGGGCAAGTGGATTGGAATCTCCATTCGATGCCAGAGGAAACAGTAATAGAGGTGTCTGAACCCTCCAGATTAAAGATCATGGAGGACAGGGAGGACTACTCTGAGTTCTTTGTCCTATGTTGAATCTCCAAACTTCAGAAAGAAACCTTGGGTGCTGTATTGGTCCAATCTTATCCTTTTCATTATACTCTATTATTAAAAATTGTATCATTAACTACTTTAAATATTTTGTGGTGTTATTTCACTGATAATTCCACTAAATATAGCAACCATCTTTTTTTCCTTTGGTTCATCTGTGTGTGAATTTGTACTTTTATCGGGAAGTCCCAGGAAGTAGTGAACATGCCTCAGAGAAGTCCCATGCAAGGGAGAGGTTAGGATACTCATCCAACTCATTGGTTGAGGGTTGCTCCTCAATGTGTTAACTCCCTGGCATTTGGGCCCCCTTTGCAGCAAGTAAGTCCCTACAGTTGAGAAAGCTTTTGTGTAGAAAGTAGCAGATGCTTTCAGTAGGAAAACCCACTAGCAGGAATGGCAAGGGCAATGGTCTATGATGAAGGCCTGACGGTGTCTGCTACAGAAGTAGCAGAATAGACTTGAAGGAAGTCAGAGTGAGCGATGAGGACATCTGGGAGAAGATTTCAGGCAGAAGAAACAGCCGGTATGAAGGTCCTGAGGCAGGAGCTGCTTGGCATGTCTAAGGAACAGGGGGGAGGCCCACATGGCTGGAACAGAGTGAGCAAGGGGGCAGGAAAGAGTCAAGTCACAAGAGGCAAGATCATGTAGGGCCTTTGAGCTGTTTTAAGGAATTGGGTTTCACTCTGAGAAAACAGGAACCATTTGAAGAACGCAAAGATGTGTGATGTGGTCAAACTTACATCTCAAAAAGATCAACCAAGCAGCTGCTCTGGAAATGGACTATAGAAAAGCAGGGGAGGAAACGCGGACACAGGAAGTTGCTGCAATATCCAGACAAGACATTACAGTGGCTTGGATCAGAATCAGGGCAATAGAAGTGGGGAGGAGTGGTCAGATTTTTAATGCAGTAGGAAGGTGAAGTCCACTGAATTGGACAGATCTGATAATGGGGTGTGAGAAGAAAAGAGGAGTTTAGTATTAAACTAAGGATTTAGCCTGAGCTAAGTAAGGGGATAAGGGAGATAAGGGAGACTGTGGGAGGGGCATATTTGGAGGACAATTAAGTTTTACTTAGTTTTAAACATGCTGATTTGTAGATGTCATTTTTTTTTTTAAGATTTTGAGACACACAGAGAGAGAGAGAGAGAGAGAATGAGAGCGAGCACAAGCAGGGAGGAGAGTCAGAGGGAGAAGCAGACTCCCCAGTGAGCAGGGAGCCCGATGTAGGGCTCAATCCCAGGACCCTGAGATCATGACCAGAGCCGAAGGCAAAGACTTACCTGAGCCACCCAGGTGCCCCTGATTTGTAGATGTCTTAATAGACATTCAAATGGAGATGCCAAGTTAGCTGTGGCTATTACAGGTTTGGAGTTCAGGAGAGCAGTCTAGGCTAGATGTGTAAGATTGAGAATTGGCACATGAACAGACACTTAAAGCCAGGAGACTGGACGAGCGCACAAGATCTCCCTGGGACTGCCTCTGGATCTGTGATTACATGTACACTGGCGCTTCTCATTCTGCCCGCCATGTCTCTTAGCCACACTTTGTTTTCTGTCTTGCCATCCCTCTATGCTCTATTCCAGGCAGCTTCTTCAGATCCAACATCCAGGTCATCGATTCTCTCTTTTGCTGTTTCTAGTCTGTCATTTTAACTTTTAGAACATATTTTCATTCCTAGAAGTTCTGCTTTTCTAAAAAATCTGTGATCGGGGTGCCTGAGTGGCTCAGTCGGTTAAGCGTCTGCCTTCTGCTCAGGTCATGATCTCAGGTCCTGGGATCAAGCCCTGTGTCCAGCTCTCTGCTCAGCAGGGAGTCTGCTTCTCCCTCTCCTTCTGTGCTCTCTCTCGCTCTTGCTTTCTCTCTCAAATAAAATCTTTAAAAAAAATAAAAATCTGTGATCTATTTGGATGGCCTTTATCATATTCCTACTTTTGTCCTTATTTAAAACATACATATATGTTGTATAATCTTTATTCAATAATTTATCTGATCATGCTCTCATTGTGCCTCCACTATGATAGCTTGTTTCCACATGGGCACGCATGTGTGTTTAATCTTTGGAGCTCCTGTTTACTAGGGTTTTGTGGGAATGCTGTATGGCTCAGTAAAGGGCAGGTGCAGATTTTTTTTTTTTTTTTTTGATCCTACTAGGTGTTTCAGCCTTGGGCTAATTTTTAGGCTAATTCCTCAACCTAGTGGTTCCTGGACCACACCATGTAAATCTGAATCCCAAACCTGTGCATGGTTGCAAATTCTCACAGGACCTGTTCCCCTGATCCCTGGGAACTTTTCCCCCAAAAGCGGGGAAACTTTTTCTAGCTTACCTCTTCAAGGATGAAGCCTTCAAAGTGCCAGCTTTATGCAGAGGGTCCCACTTCCAACTTCCTAGGGAGCATGGGCTGAGGTCTTATTTTTCACACTTATGTGGACATTAACACTCACGGGCACCAACGCGCTCACACACCTTCCTATCCCCCGCGGCCACAGCCAGGTCACATGCTGACCACTCTGGGTTTTCAATTCTCCAAAGCCTGGCAGTTCCCTTTCTTTCCTGCAAATTTAGCTTTGCATTTAAAAGAATTTCTAGAGGCGCCTGGGTGGCTCAGTCGTTTAAGCATCTGCCTTCCGCTCAGGTCACAATCCCAGTGTCCTGGGATCCAGCCCCACATCAGGCTCCCTGAGCCTGCTTCTCCCTCCCCATGCTTGTGCACTCTCTCTCTCAAATAAATACATAAAATCTTTTTTTTTAAGCATTCTTTTTTTTTTTTTAAGATTTTATGATTTCATTTATTTATTTGACAGAGAGAGAGCACAAGCAGAGGGAGTGGGAGAGGGAGAAGCAGGCTTCCCGCTGAGCAGGGAAGGAGGCACCCAATAAATAAAATCTTTAAAAAATAATAAAAAATAAAAATTTCTACTTGAGCCAGCATTTCTGTTTGTATCAAGAGTTGTCAGGTTATCTTATCTGTCACACGATGGAACTGGAAGTCCCCTCAGGGGTGATTTTGGAACTAGTTTCTAGAACAACAGGCCCATCTGAGTGGACATGATGCCCCCTAGCTCCCTGTCATGTTGGAAGCATCTGCTCCTGTGAGGAGTTTGTGCGAAGGGTGATCTACCGAGCACCATCCTGGCTTATTCCTGTGGCTCTGCCCGCGCTGACCACTACCTGTTTCACATGTGCCAAAGAGGCCTGTGTAGTAATGAATGAGCTAAAGACAAACGTGCCCAACTGCCGTGACAGAAGCCCAGCTCGCCCTGGCCAGCAGGCCCGAGACTGGCCATCTAGGAATCCTAGGGAGCGATGTCCAGCAGGGCCATGCCATTCCAGCCTGTGGCCCTGCTGGAATGAAGGAAAGGGGGTTGGTGATGCCACAGACAAATGCTTCCTGTGGCCCCAACAAGATGATGTGACCTGTTTGCTATGTCCTCTTTCCTGAGATGCCCCAAAGACCCGGGAACCCCCAATAAGTCCTGGTAAGAGTAGGGGCAGCCAAGAAAGGGAAAGAATCAGAACTCTCTGCCTAAGGCCTCCACTAGCTGGGAGGGTAGGCACAGCCTGGGCAGACTTGTCTATTTGGCCACAATCAAAGGAAACATGAGGACTGACCAACATGGCTGTGTGCACACCATTAGTGATGGTCAGGGACAGTCCCCGTGTGTGTCACCCAGGGGGATGAAGTTGGGGCACTTCAAAGTTGCTCTGCGAAGCCTTGGTGTAGTAGAAGTCTCTGAAAGCTCTTTTAGGATCATTGTGTATCAGTCAGTGAAAGAGAAAGGGGCTGAACAGGAAGAGGGCAGAGACCCTAAGGATGCCTTTCTACTTTCTGTCTTCCACAAACCCCCATCCATCTGCTCACTGAGGGGCTGAAGTCAGAATCACGGGGTCTTTGGACCAATGCCATCCAGTTCAACCTTCCATCCAGTGCATGTTCTGTAACCTCCTTGCCAGAGAGCCTCCTACGGTGGGGCTCTTCCTGCTAATGTCATGGTAACACTGCTCTCATTTTAAGCCTCTTCTTATTGTGAGATAAAAAAAATCTGCCCTTCAGCCATTTCCACCTAAACCCATTCGTCTTCTGGTAGCTGAGGAAGGAGGGCCTCCTGCCTTCACTGGCTCAGGAGCACCTGATGAGCCTATCACCTGAAGGAGCTGTGGGAAGTGGGGCTCCTCAGACCCAGCTCACCCCCAGGATGTCTATCCAGGGAAGGAAAGGGGCCGGCCAGTGGGACAAAGCCGTGCCAGGAGGAGGGTGGCTGAGCTACTTTTTCACCTTCTCACTGGAGACTCAGTTCTGACCCCACGTGTACACAGGGAAGACATCCTCCTGGACAGGAAATAAAAGCAAGTTCTTGAGTGAGCACCAAAAGTCCAGACTAGAAAGTTAGTTTATCCTGTCCCTGCGTATAAGGCAGTGAACTGAAACCAAAAGTGTCTGTGAAGGTGAGCAAGGGTGTCCTGTGAAGGATGTTCGCGTTGGGAGGCAGGCAAGCCCTCGTGAGTTCTCTGCGCTGGGCCCCAGCCTCGGAGCAGAGCGTCTGGAGCTCCGGGCAGGTGGTTTAGCAGCCCACACGGAGCAGCCGGGGGCTCCTGGGAGTCCTGTCCTTTAAAGTATTGGCGAGCAGTCTCTATTTCCTGTGTCCCTGCTGGAGGCCCATCATGGTTTTCAAGTAATTGCGCTGGACACAGAAAAGAGGAGAAAACAGGCATTGATTAGGAGGTATGGACCTAAGGCTCAGAAGCCATGCCATTTACCGCCACCCCATCATTCTTCCTGCAAACATCACAGTTTGGGAACAAGGATGCCCTCTGACCAGTCCCAATTCTGTGAGAAATAGGTTCCATTCATCCCCTTTCATTCTTTTGTCCTAAAGAAAGTGTGTAAAACTGGGGCGCCTGGGTGGCTCAGTCATTAAGTGTCTGCCTTCGGCGCAGGTCATGGTCCCGGGGTCCTGGGATCATGACCTGAGCTGAAGGCAGATGCTTAACCGACTGAGCCATCCAGGCGCCCCAAAAAATGGTGTGGCAGGCAGGTTTAAAAGGAAACATGTATGTTCCAAGGGCCCACTTGAAAGTTTCTGTCAAGAATTAGGTTCAAAAAGAAAAGAAGAGGTTTCTATCTGCAGAGGCGTGGGCACACATGTACCCTGGAGGGCCCTCCCTCCCCAAACCAACTAAATGTTCACAAATTCTTCCCTATTAATGCACTGCTGGGCTCTCAGAAAGCAGGCGTGGAAACAGAAACACTGGGCAGTTAAGCAAACGAATGGGAAACCCAACTGGAAATGTGGGTATGAATCCAGAACCCCCACAGCGTGGGGGACTGGAACTGAAGCTCCTACATTAAACTGGAATTCTTTTGCGCCCCCCCCAAGTGTTTTTATTGTGGTAAAATACACACTACATAAAATTTACCATCGGAACCATTTTAAGTGTACAGCTCAGTGGTATTAAATACATTCCTAATGTGCAACCATCACCAGCATCCATCCCCCTGACTCTTTTCATCTTGCAACGCTGTAACTCCATAACCATTAAGCACTAACTCCCCATTCCCTCCCTCCCCCAGCCCTTGGAACTGCCATTCTCTTTCCTGTCTCTGATTTTGGCGACTCCAAATACCTCACGTGAGTGGAATCCTATAGTGTTTGCCTTTTGGTGACTGGCGTGTTTCACTTAATGGCTGTACCATTTTACATTCCCACCCACAGCACACACACCAGGGCTCCAATGTCTCCACGTCCTCACCAACACTTGTTATTCTCTGGCTTTCAGATAGTTGCCATCCTAATGGGTATGAGGTGGTTATCTTGTAGTTTCGATTTGCCTTTCCCTAACGATTTGTGACCTTGAGCATCTTTTCATGTGTGTACTGTCCATCTATATGTTTTCTTTTGAGAAATGTCTATTCTTTGCCCATTTTTGAGTTTTAGAAGTTCTCTATATATTCTGGATATTAATCCCTTCTCAAGTTGTAATTTTTTTTTAAGTAAACTACACCACACATGGGGCTCGAACTCATGACCCCAAGATCAAGAGTTTCGTGCTCTACCAACTGAGCCAGCCAGGTGCCCCTCACGTTGGAATTTTTGGAGGAGGTTAAAATGGTCCTGCGTTGGCAATGCCCCATGGCTAACTGCAAAAGCAGTGCAAACACTGTCGGGGGGAGAGAATGCACTTATGGACTCGGGACTCCGACAGCTGCAGGTCAATCAACTGTGAACTTATGATTTAAACACACACACGAATAAAAGCTACCATGAGAGAAATTCAGCAAAATGGAAAACGTTTTGACCTTGAAAAATCTGATCCTATCTATTTTGTGTGTAAAAATACATGTGAAAAGGTTTAAATAAATATAAGATGGAATGGCTCAAGTGCAACATCTGCATATAAAGCGTGTGCATTGGCATGTCTTAAACAGAAGAAATGTCCAATGCAGAGAGTTCTCCTAGAGACCCAGGGAGGGTGGGAGAATATAACACTGACTACAGAAATGCAGGATTCCTCTGTTGAATGATTTAGAATTTAAATGTTTATCTGAGACTTTGAAAGTAATGAAAGAAAACACAAGGTCTGTCTGGAATATCAAGAGAGATTCATGGTGGCAACCACGCAAATCACTTTGGTTCACCTTTTCTATGATCTTGAAATAATTTATGCCAGTCTAAACAAGTTTACAACAATTTACAATAAGGAATAAAATTTTATCAATAAAAGACCTTGTGGTCCTCTTATTCAATACACACAGTGACTTTAACCAACTGATCAAAATTAACCTCACCAATAATAGGACAAAGCAACATCTTGTGCCTCCTGTTACAGACTGTTTCTATTCCCTCAAAACACATTTGTTGAAGCCTTAATCCCCACTGTAATGGTATTAAGAGGTGGGAAACTTTGGGAGGTAATAAGATTTAGATGAAGCCATGAGGGTGGAGCTCCTCATGATGGTTTAGTGTCCTTACAAAGAAAGGAAGAACACATGCCTAGGAAAGCCATGTGAGCACACAGCAAGAAGATGGCTGTTTACGAGCCAGGAACAAGGCCTTCACCAAGAAGCAAATCTGCCAGCACCTTGATCTTGGACTTCTCAGCCTCTAGAACCATGAGAAAGAAATGTCTATTGTTTAAGATCCCAGCCTATGGTATGTTGTTATAGCATCCCAAACTGACTAAGGCACCTCCTGATATGATGTACCATGAAGAATGTAACATCATTTCTGTGGTATTCCTGCCCAAAATGCATACTCGAATTTAAATCACAAGAAAATATCACACAAACCTAAACTGGGGACATCCAACCAAAAAAATTGGCCTGGACTCTTCAGAAATATAAAAATCATACACAAAGAAAGACAGGAATTGTTCTAGATTAAAGGAGACATGGCAACTAAATGTAATGCATGATTCTAGACTGGACCCTGGACAGGGTGGGAAGGGAGAATAATCATAAAGGACATCATTCGGACAACTGCAAAAGCTAAATATGGACTTCGGATTAAATAATATAGTTGCATCATTGTTAATTTTCCTGATTTCAACTACTATATCATGATTATGTAAGAGAATGTACTTGTTCTTAAAAAATAAACACTGAAATATTTAGGAGTAAAAAACCAGAGAATAAAATGTTCTAAAATTCACTGTGGTTATGGTTGCATTTAACTGTGGATATATGAAAAACCACTGAGTTGTACACTTTAAATGGGTGAATTGTATGGTATATAAATTATATCTCAAAGTTATTTTTTTAATATTTTATTTATTTATTTGACAGAGAGAGAACACAGTGAGAGAGAGAGGGAGAAGCAGACTTCCCGCCGAGCAGGGAGCCCAATATGGGTTCGATCCCAGGACCCTGGGATCATGACCTAAGCCGAAGGCAGACGCTTAATGACTGAGCCACCCGGGCGCCCCTATCTCAAAGTTATTTTTTAAAAAAAGAAAGAAATAAGAGTTTATAAAAAATGACCAAGTAAATTTGAAGAAGAACCAAATAGAATTTTTAGATATGGCTGATTAGACATAGCTGAAGAGGGCATTAAAAAACTGAAACAGGAATGTAAAGAAATTACCCAAATTACAGTATAGAGATGAGGAGCTGGAAGAAATGACTGACTTTAAGAGATACAGAGGACATAATGAAAAAGTCTAATGTGCATCTAATCAGAATCCTAGAAGAGGGAATAAAAATAAAAAGACAGTATTCAAAAAGATAAGGCTCCAATATCCCTTTCTGATAAAAATACTCAATGAACTAGGTACAGAAGAGAATTTTTTCACCCTGATAAAAGAAAGGTTCTAAAAAGGAACTTCATTTTTAAAAATTTTATTTATTTAAGTAATCTCTACACCTCATGCAGGGCTCAAACTCACAACCCCGAGATCAAGAGTTGCATGCTCTTCTGAGCCAGCCAGGTGCCCCCTAATAATGAACTTCAAAGTGTGTTGCTCAGAGGGTGTTCCCTGGACTAGCCACATAGGCATCATCTAGGAGCTTATCAGAAAAGCAGAATCTCAGGCTCCACCCCAGGGCTGCTGCGTCAGACTCTGTCTTCTAACAGCCTGGTGAGTCATGTGCACGGCAGAGTGAGAAGTGCTGCTCTAAGACTCTTCTTTTCTAGGAAACCCCACAGCTAACATCATACTTAAGAGTGAAAGAATGAATACCTTCCCCCTAAGGTCAGAAACAAGACAAAGATGGCGACTTTCACCTCTTATTTCAACTTTGTACCAGAGGTTCTAGCCAGGCAAATTAGGCAAGAAAAAGATATAAAAGGCATCGGATCGGAGAGGAAGAAGTAAAACTATTTGTATTTGTAGATGACATGATCTTATATGCATAAAGTCCTAAGGAATCCACTAAAAAACTATTAGAATTAATAAATGAGTTCAGCAAAAAATAAATAAATAAATAAATAAATAAATAAATGAGTTTAGCAAGGTGATGGAATACCACATCATTATACAAAAACCAACTGTATTTCTATACAAATACAATGAACAATCCAAGAATGAAATTTAAAATACAACTCCATTCATAATAGCATCAAAAATAATAAAATACTTGGGAATAAAACAATTTTTTAAGTTCAAAACTTAAACTCTGAAAAGTACAAAACTCCACTGAAGGAAATTGAAGACTTAAGCAAATAGAAAGATAGCCTATGTTCATGGATTTGAAGACTTAATATTGTTAGGATGGCAATATTCCCCAAAGTAATCTATAAATTCAACACAACCCCGGTCCCAGCTGGCTTCTTTGCATAAACTGACAAGCTGGTCTGAAAATTTGTGTGGAAATACAAGGAACCCAGAATAGTCAAAACAATCTTGGAAAAAAATGAACAAAGATGGAGAATTCATACTTTGCAATTTCAAAACTAACTACAAATCTACAGTAACCAAGACATTATAGTACTGGCATAAAGACAGACATACAGGCCTGCGTCGGGCTCCCTGCTCAGCAAGGAGTCTGCTTCTCCCTCTCCCTCTGCCCCTCCCCCCGCTCATGCATGCTCTCTCTTTCTCTCAAATAAAATAAAATCTTAAAAAACCCAACAGAATAACTACAACAAACCAGAGGTAAACACAAAAGAGAAATGACAAACAGGAAAATATTTGCAGCTCATATCATAAAGAGCCAATCTTCCCAGTATATCAAGACTTCCTACAAATTAGTAAGAATAAAGACCAAAAAACGATAGAAAAATAGGCAAAAATACAGATAGGCAATTTACAGGAAAAGAAATTAAAATGGCACTTAAACATATGAGAAGCTCAACTTCATTTATAATAACAGAAATACAAATTAAAGCTCCCCTGAGAGGCCATTTTCTCCTTTCAGATTGGAAAAAACCAAAAAGCAGGATAATATATCTTGTGGTGAAGCTGTGGAGGTACAGACGGGTCCAGCTCTAAGCAGGTGATTTGGCACCATCCATTAAAAGTACACATGTCCGGGGCGCCTGGGTGGCTCAGGCGTTAAGTGTCTGCCTTCGGCTCAGGTCATGATCCCAGGGTCCTGGGATCGAGCCCCGCATCGGGCTCCCTGCTCCGTGGGAAGCCTGCTTCTCCCTCTCCCACTCCCCCTGCTTGTGTTCCCTCTCTCACTGTGTCTCTCTCTGTCAAAAAATAAATAAAATCTTAAAAAAAAGTACATATGTCCTTGTGACCAAAAAATTCACTTCTACAAAACTTTCACATATATTCACTTATACGTGAATTTGCACTTGTACAAGGTTATCACAATATTGGTATTGTAAACAAATGGAACCGCCCAAATGTTCCTCAATACGAGACGGGTTAAGTACATTTTGATACATCCTCACAATGGAGTACTAGTATACAGCTTTAAGAAAAAAAAGAAATGGAATGATCTTCAGAATACACTATTTAGTGGGAAAGGCAAGATACAGCACAATGCGCAATGGGAACACAAGAAACAAGTGACAGGGGTTCCGTGTCAGAGAGGATGGGGGACTGGGTATTTGTATTTATATTTACATTTTGTATTTATATTTTTTAAATGATGTGCTCTCTTTGGCAATCTCCCCATGTGCACCTGCTACCTGCTGTATAAGAACGGCCTGTGGGGGGCGCCTGGGTGGCTCAGTTGGTTAAGCATCTGCCTTAGGCTCAGGTCATGATCCCAGGGTCCTGGGATAGAGCCCTGCTGGGCTCCCTGCTCAGTGGGGAGTCTGCTTCTCCCTCTCTCTCTGTCCCTCCCCCTCCACCCCCGCTCATGCTCTCTCTCTCAAATAAATAAATAAAATCTTAAAAAAAAAATAAAATAAAAAGAATAGCCTATGGGCACACCATGGGCCCTCTGTGTTCTGGCTCCAGACTGAGCCTCAGCAGAGCAAGCCCCTCTGCTCTGGCCCAACCTGCTTAGGGAGGAGAGTGCAGGCCCAGCCTGTGGCCAACACCCTGTCTAGCTTTGCCTCAGCTGCATGTGGTCCTCTGTCCCCTGCCTCCTATTTGTGGTGGCCCCCACTGGAGAGGCGGTCCCCAACAGGCAGTGGTCTCAGGAGATTCCCAGACCCTGCCCTGGGCTGTGAACCACACATGGGCCAGCTTAGCTCCCAATAACCATCTCCAGGTCTGTGGGACCCCTGCTGGATGTAACCCAATCTAGGACTCTGTAGAGTTGGCAGAAGATACCCACTGACTCTGGGTGACTCTGTATTTCCCTTGGCTGGCATATTCCTTCTTTGCCTCTCCAAAGTGGGGAGTGTGATCTTGGGTGTCCTAATAATGTGGTCCCTGAGGCCCCACCTTCCTGGAGACATGACCCCCCCCTCCCCCAGTTACCTTCTGTTCTGTCTTGACTTTGGCATTGTAGAAGGAGATGGAGTCAGGGCCCTCCGGCAGCATCATCTGCTGCAGCTGGCTGAACTTGTCCTGGTCATCTTCTCCCTAGGGGAGGCTCAACTCAGCACAGTCCCTTCAGCCTGCCATTGTTAGGAACTACCCTGACAGGGCCTGGGGCGGGGCGGGGGGGGCATCAGGGCAGCCCCTTGTAGGGTCTATAAATCCCCACGCAGGGCAGCTCACACCCCCTGGTCGCATATTTGCCAGATATCCTGTAGCTGCCACCTGGGCAGGATGAGCCACCCCGGAAAGGTGGCAGCAGCAAGTGATGTTTTCTGTGTCCCCATCCTCCATAACTGGGGAGAGACCTGGACCTGTCCATCCGCCTGGCCAGCCGTGGGAGAGGCTGGGAGCAGCCCAGACACAGCCATGTTTGCGGAGAAAACAGAGGATAAAGGGTACTGCCCACCACCCTGTGCTCATCCACTGTCCCCACGCCGGCCCCCGTGCCACTCACCAGAGCCACGAGCCTGCTGATAGGCACCATGCCTGGCCGGATGCCACTAGCTGGCTTCAGTGACACTTGCATGTCCTCGGGGATGAAGAAGGACTCGTTGTACCAGATATCAAATTCTGCAAGGAGGCAGGAAGACAGCACTGTGAGGTGTTGGGAAGGCCCTGAGGAAGCAGGTAAAGCCTGAGTGTGTGCCTGTCACAGGCTCACCCTCTTCTTCGCTTCCTGCTCTAGGGTCTCACCCTTGCCCGTCTCCCTCTCCAGCTCTCAGAGTCCTGGAAACACTTCGGAAGCCCCTGTCCAGCCCCAGCTGTCAGAGAGAAGCTCTGAAGCCGCTTCAAGAACCCAGGTGGTGGCCTTGCCCTCTGACTCCCGGGAGATTAGGCGGCCGGCCGACCTTCCCGAATGGCACACCCGTGAGCAGGCGGTGGCGACACTGATCCACCAAGTGCTGGCAGTACTGGACCTCAGCCCTGAGGTCACGCAGGTCCTGATACTCAGCCCGGTACTGCTTCTTGAGGTCTTTGAGCTTCAGGATCAGCAGGAATTCCTCCTCGTCAATGATCATCAGCCCCTTGTTCTCGTACTCGCCTGCAGGGACAGAGGAGGTCAGAGAACGAGCTGTGCACTTGGGGCGTGGAGAGGGAGGAATTCTGGAAAGAGGGAACAAAGTGCTGGCAAAACACGAAGACCAGACACCAGAGGAAGGGCTGGGCTGTGGGGCCGGTGTGGGCAAAGCACAAGGAGGCCAGGCCACCAGGCCACGTCTCACCGGAAGAGGGAGTTCAACTCAGAGGGGGCCACACGGGCAACTTGAAGAACAGGAGGGCTGAGCAGGGGAGAGGGTAGAGATGGCGCATGCTTCACACTTACTTTGATCTTAAACCTTATTGGCCAAAGATAGCTCAGGAGTCACCTCAATTAAGTGAATGTCTACCTTTTTTGTGAGTCATATACATGAACTGCCCCCACGGGCTAGTACCACAAGGCACCTGGGCAAGGTTATTAAGAACAGAGCGTGTAAATCTGTATTATGTCAAGAGGCTGTCAGAGGCTCCAGGAGGAGAGGGGTCAGTTGTGCTATCTGTCAACTCATGGTCTTGGCATGAACTTTTTTTTTTTTTTAAAGATTTTATTTATTTATTTGAGAGAGAGAGAATGAGAGACAGAGAGCACGAGAGGGGAGAGGGTCAGAGGGAGAAGCAGACCCCCCACTGAGCAGGGAGCCCGATGTGGGACTCGATCCCGGGACTCCAGGATCATGACCTGAGCCGAAGGCAGTCGGTTAACCAACTGAGCCACCCAGGCGCCCCTTGGCATGAACTTTTAAGGTCTGTCAGATGAGGGATGCTGAGTTGAGACAAAATGACATGGTCTGTGGAGCCATTCACTCAGCCAGCCACTGCCCACGGGACCTAGAAAGCTCACCACAGGCATCATGTCAACTGCACCAGGGCTGTGGGGCTTCCACCCCGGGGAACCCTGGAGAGTGAGGAGGGGGGGTGCATAAGGCAGTCTCCAGGTGTCCTTCCACTGATATTCAGTGGGGGAAAATTAAGGTACACTGTCACACCATTTATGGAGAGGCAACTAGGAATCTTGAATTGGTCCCAATTCAGGAAGTCTAGAGAGGGAGGGTACAGAGTGGCCCCCCCCCAGGTCCCTCCCCTTCAGTGCAGAGCGGCCTGGTCTGTGTGCTGTGGGCAGTCCCCAGTGTGGTCACTGTGACAGACACAAGTTCTGTACAGAGTAAAGTCTTTACAGTATTCTGATGACATGGGGAGGGACCGTAAACACCTTGTGTCCCACTGGGGGGTTCTTGGATTATTGCCAAAGAAAAAACTTCAAAGAGTTGAACCTAAAATGATTTTTCATTTTTCTTTCACAAAACACTAATTAACATGCCAAATTTGCTGACCTTGCTGGGCCAATAAGTGGCTATCAATCAAAATGAATCAAAAAACAAATTTACTTGATCTATTCCCTCAAAATAAAAGTATTTTATTTAGTATTTTAACAACCAATGGGAAAACAACTCATGTTGGGGGGAAAGAGCAAAAATGTGTGTTTTGGGGCACCTGGGTGGCTCAGTCAGTTAAGCGTCTGCCTTCGGCTCAGATCATGATCCCAGAGTCCTGGGACTGAGCCCCACATCAGGCTCCCTGCTCAGTGGGGAGCCTGCTTCTCCCTCTCCCTCTGCCCCCCACTTGTGCTCGCTCTCACTCTCTCTCAAAATCTTTAAAAAAAGTTTTTATACTGATAGATAAAATTTTAAATATTTTATTTCATTTTAAGTTTTTATTTATTTGAGTAATCTCTACACCCAGCATGGGGCTCGAACTCATGACCCTGGGATCAAGTCACATGCTCTTACGACTGAGCCAGCCAGGCGCCCCCAAATTTTAACTATTTTAAAATATTGTTTGTTGAATCTTCATCTCATTCCTTAAAAATATCTGTTTTCAGGTATGTTTAGGCATAAATGATATGTCAGCATAGCATGAATATATATTACTTAAGATATGTAAATAGGTAATAAGAAGTTGCACAGTCGAAGAAGGTGTGGGCAGAAGGGACAAGGAAGTCCTTGGTCCTGTAAGATCTTCACCCTGGAGGTTCTGGGTTGGGGCATATCTGGAGCCACCATGACCAGCCCTCCCCCATGCCCAGACCCATGGAGGCTTAGCCCTCTGGAATAGTGTGTCACGGTTGGTATGTAGAGTATGAGCAAAGTGGCCTCACAAATTTGGAGTTGCCCTGAGATGTAAATGAGTAAGGTGCACATCTCACTGTGAGATGATGCACCTAGCCTGCAGAAATAAAACAAATGACATCTGGAGATGCCCTGACGGATCGTCACCCGGGAAGCCTGCCTGGAACAGGGCTGTGATTTAGTCAGGGAAAGCCCAGTAACCTCCAATGTGCCCTGTTGGAAGGACAATGGAACTAGGAACGTGAACAAGAATGTGGCTTCTGAACCTTGGCCCCAGAGTCAGGGTGGTTACTCATTAAAATGCAGGTTCTGGGCCTTGCTCCAGTTCTCCTGAGTTAGAACCAATAGTCAGGGCCTAGGAGTCCGTGTTTGATCAGCCCTCCCCGACGCGTCCTCCGCACACTCAAGGTGTGAGGGCACCTCAGGGCAGGGCTGAGCGCTGTCCACCACTGGGACAAGGGCACCAGGGTCAGGGTAACCAGTGAGCACCCTCCTCACACTGAGGTCCCTGTTCTCTGAGCCTGAGGACTGCCCCCCCCGCCACACCACCTGCCTTAGGAGACTAGACATTCCCAGGCCGTGTTGAGGGTTTGGCATGAGGAATGATCTCAGTGACAATGACTCCCTAGGCCCTCTGGTACCCATATTCTCTTTCCCTCCTCAGTTTCTTGTGTCTTAACCAGCACCCCCACGCCAATCAGACTACCCTGGGCAGTGAGGAGACCACACAAGGACCTAGGGCCCTTGTGGGGGTCACCAGCTGCCCATCTCCCTGGGGAAGCCCCTATAAAACCAAAGGCCTGCTTCTCCACTGGGAGCAGCACATATCAAGGAGAAGGCCCAGCACTTAGGTCTGAGATAACAAAATAATGGGAGACCCACAGGCGAAGGCTGACTGACAGGGAAGGAGCCTAAGGCTCCCCGGGGCTGACGAGAGCCGCATGATGACCCAGGCGTGAAGACCACACTTGCCCATGCCCTGCCGGCCCCCACCCACTTCAGTCCTCCTGTGCCCAAGACAGCCCCGTTTGGAGCAGGATGACTCAACTCCCACAGCCCCCGGCCACCTTCCCACCACATTCACCTTGCTTCTCCCGGAGCGACCGCTGAAAATTTAGTGCCCCCTCGGTCATGTCCATCTCCCGCTTGATGGCATTGATGCGCTGCGTGGTCTCACTGGCCCTTTTCCTCCGCTCGTTCAAGATGGATTTGTTCTCTTTGAAGATGCGGTTGATCTCACTGCCCCGCTCGTTCTTAAAGTCCTCAAAGGCCACAGGTTTGGGGGGTGGGGTACTGGGCCTGAAGACAGAAGGGGAGGGGAAGGGGAGCCAGAGCCCAGCACCTCGCCTCTCTTCCCGGGGGAGGAAGGGGGGCTTCTGTGGGCCGGAGGCCAGAACTCCCAGGCACCCTGTGCAGGAACCACTCCCCGGTCTCTGTCTCTCCCCGCACACAAGGGCACGTGACCACAGCAGAAAGTGAGGACAGCAAGGAAAAGTGTAGGGAACAGAAAACAAAGCAAAAAACCACGCACCACCTACTGGCAACTACACCTTGGTGTATCTCCTTCAGGGATTTCTTTGATACATTTTTTAATGTTTGAGGTCATGCAATAGATATAATTTTACATCTTACATTTTTCACAGAGGCATTCCTTCATGCTCTAAAGCACTCTGAGAACTCTGGTTAATGAGATGTAAGGTGAAGTGCTGGGGGCCAGGGGATGTGGACTGTCTGCAACTTCCTTTGAAACGCATCAAGAGGTGCCTGGGGGGCTCAGTCAGTTGAATGGCCGGCTCTTGGTTTTGGCTCAGGTCGTGATCTTGGGGTCCCAGGATCGAGCCCCGCGTCGGGCTCCCTGCTCAGCAGGGAATCTGCTTCAGGATTCTCTCTCTCTGTCCCTCCCCCTGCTCACTCACTCACTCTCTCTCTCTCTCTCAAATCAATGAATCTTAAAAAAAAAAAAAGTTAGGGGCACCTGGGTGGCTCAGTTGGTTAAGCATCACCTTCAGCTCAGGTCATGATCCCAGGGCCCCGGGATCGAGTCCCATATCAGGCTCCTTGCTCAGTGGGGAGTCTGCTTCTTCCTCTGCCTCTGCCCCTCCCCGCCGCTTGTGTGTGTGCTCTCTCTCTAGAGTTCTCTCTCAGAAAAATAAATAAAACCTTTAAAAAATAATAAAAAAATTTTAAAAAGTTAAAAAAAAAAGAAATGCATCCAAAAAATACGAGGGATAGAGAGAAAGACAGGTGCATGATGAAGTCAGTAATGTGTTAAATGTAGAATCAAGTGGGTGTTTGCTGTACAGTACTTTCAACTTCTCAGAGTTCTTGGGAATGTTCACCTGCTGGGGAAAAAGTTCTTCATGCACATCCTTGTACATCCCAAGGGCAGAGATGATAATTCACTTAGTACCTTTTCTGTAATGTTAGCTACTGAAGGTGTTTCCCAAAATCGTTTTTGGCTTTTTAAACGAATGATGCAATGAATATCCATTTGCATAAATCTCTGTCCACATCTCTATTTCCTCAGGATACATTACTGGACACTCAGTTACTGGCTCACCAGGGAGAGGAAATGCGTATCTAGAGGAAGGTGTCTCATACTTTGAGAATTTGGGGCCTTTTGAACGCATTAGTTATTTTTTTTTATGTAAATGTAATGATTTATTTATTTTTTTTAAAGATTTTATTTATTTATTTGAGAGAAAGAATGAGAGAGAGAGAGCACATGAGAGGGGAGAGGGTCAGAGGGAGAAGCAGACTCCCCGCCGAGCAGGGAGCCCGATGCGGGACTCGATCCCGGGACTCCAGGATCATGACCTGAGCCGAAGGCAGTGGCTCAACCAACTGAGCCACCCAGGCGCCCTAAATGTAATTATTTAAATAACTGCTATTTGAAGGGCCTAAAATGATTCCATGAATAACTGCGTATATTGGAGGACTCCTGAGGTGGGACCATTTCACCTGTGGATAAGCCATCACGTTGCTTCTTTCTGGACTGTGCTCCTAGTCTTTGCCTATTATCCCCTATTTTATTTCTCATCTATCTGCAGGCGCTCTTGACATGCTGAGGATCACAGTCTGGTTTTGAATGATCTGGTGAACTTGCATGAGGTGTTACCTGGGTGGGCGTGATTCCTCCTTCGGGGAGTCTGAGGGAAGAGGCTCAATGCTGGAGGTCTCCCGGTCCCGCAGAGGCAGCTCTTTGACATCCCCCTCCTTGGAGGATGGGGTCAGCTGGGTCTTGGAGGTAGAGACCTCCAAATCCTTGCCACTCACAGGGCTGCCGGCACCTTCCTTTCTTGCTAAAGAGCTGGAAGGAGAAGGCAGGGAGGCCCCAGGGCTCAGTCATGGGCAGTAAGGTGTCTCTGGTACTTAAGGGAGTGACATTTCCAAACCCTCAGACATCAGAAGTCCCATCCCAGCCAGGAGACACCTGGGAAAACTAGGCAGGCTCCAGGTCTGAAAGCGGCTGGACCTGTGGGGCGGGCCACAGGCTTCTGGAGCATCCGGGCTGCTGAGGTCTTGATCACACAGGCCTCCTGGGGAAGGGGTGGTAGAGCTCCCACCCAGGGTAAGTCTGTCTGCGGACCAAAGGTAAAGCAAGACATGTGTGCCCTGCTGCCCTGACCAGTCCATGACCTGCTCTCTCGCCTCCACTAGTGCCCACACCCACCCCCAGGAAAGTAGCTGCCCTCGCTCTCCAAGTGATGGCACCCAGGGTCTTCCTCCTCAGAGAGGCACATCTGAGCCAGCCTGAGCCATCAGGAGGAGGCCAGGGGCCTCGGCAACCCCTGCTACCCGACTCCTGTTCCGCATGGAACAGTTTTCTACAGTCAGCTCTGGCCTGTGTCCTTTAGCAGATGGTAATAACAGCAACACCACATTCGCATTGCCTACTTTCTAGGTACAGGGACTGCCTTCACCCATTTATCTTCCCAACAACCCCCTGACTTTGAAGCTACTATTAGGATTCCCAATTTAGGGAGAAGGAAATAGAAGCACAGAGAGGCTGTCATGCCTCCCATGAGGTGACCCCTTCAGCGAGAGGAGCCTCCTAGAGCCTGTGTTCACGTCCACCACTACCAGCATCTTCCAGGGACGGCATCTCATGAAGTGAGCCTAGACACTCCTCCCACCTGGCACACACAAATGATTCCTGTCTGGATGGCGAACTGGGGTTTTTAGGTGACATGAGTAGCAGGGAGCTGGGTCACAAAGGACTCCGGTTAGGGGTGGTTTCCGCATGTTGTACTGGGGGTGGGGCTTCTCTCTTCTACTCTATCACTCCTCAGTGGTGTGACCTTGGAAGTGATTTCGCCTCTCCGAGCTTCGGTATCTACATCAGTAAAATGGAGACATGAACTCCTACCTCTTGGGGTTGCTGTGTGGACAAGAGGCAGCCAGCACAGCCTGGGCTCCACAGGTGTTGCTATAGTATTGGCAGCAATATGAGCAACTGGGACCACCCAGTAGCGAAGACACTAGCTTGTGTCCTCTCTTTCACCAGCCACGGAGGGCCAGGTGCTGAGCAGGTAAAGCAACAGGAAGGTTCCTCACCCGAGCTGTTCTTTGAACATCTTCTTGGACTTGGATTTCTTCCCAGGTTTGGTAGAGTAAGGGGTGACCCCGAGTCCGAAGCCTTGTCCATCAGGCTCACCCACTAGGTGGCCATCAACGTCCACAAGCCCTGCCTGGATAGAGGCCAGCCACAGGGCCGAGGGTTAGATTAAGGGTTTTGGTCTGTGGGGGACCCAAGTATACATGTACTCAGGTGGGCATGTTCACCCCACATGCCAAGAGAGCAGGCCTAGGCTGCTAGCTTCAGGCTGTCTCCAACAGCACTATCTCTGACCACCCTACCAATGTACACGTTCCACATCAAATCCACTCAATGGTCTGGTGTCTCCTTGAGGATCTTAAGGCCTGCTTCCAACCTAACTCCAGGAATTGGTCTTGTTTATGGTCATGTTTATGGTCATGTCCCCAATATTGTAGATCATTTTGAATTCATATACAGTTTACTCTTGCCTGGGTCCCACTCATCCTGGTGCTATCTTTATCTGTTGCAACCCCAGATCTGCTCTAATGCGGAACACCTGCTATTCCTGGAAAGGTCTGGGGATGGAAAAAATCTGACATGAATACTGTCAACAAGAAGCAACCATGCATACCTTCTGGACTGCAGAGATGGCGGCAAAGTCATTCTTGTCTATGAGGGTGTATTTCCTGCGCAAAGTGGCCTCCACTTCCTGTTCCTGTTGGCTTGAGAGAGAATGAGAGAACACCTCGCACCTTGGCGCTAGGCTGAAACTTCCAGAGCAAGAACCAAGTATGGGAATTAGAAGTCATTTGGGTGTGGCCCCTTGGGATGGAACCATACCCTCATCATGAACCAGGCTAGAAAACAAGCCCATTCCACACCCCGATTCCTCAGTGCACACACCCACTGTCCAGCCCTAAAATCCGCAGTGGCCACCCTTGTGTGCCAGGCACTTCTGCTCCAAAACTTTAACAAGGACTGTAAGCCTGCCTCAGGACCATGCTTTCCCACCTAGGTTCTATCTTTAAAAGGCCCTTGGGAATCATGTGACCCATGTCTGTGCTACTACCCAGCATGAGCTGCTCAGTCTACAGGTGTGTCTGCACCCAAATAAACTGCAAATGACTCCTGAAGTGGGCGTTGGACACAGGGAGTCTTCACGATGCCCTGCTCTGGCCACGCTCAGGGCTGGTACTCCAGAAGGACCTCCCGTCTAATTAATGAACTCAGGAAACACCCACCAGGAACCACTTCCTCTCTGAGCTGTCCTTGATTGGAGGGCTCTCCTCCCTGCTTCCCCCCAGGGGATAGGGAGGGCTGGAGGATCTGAGAGCTCAGGAGCCTGGGCACAGCCCAAGGACTCTGGGCTGGCTTCTCACCCATGAGAAACACAGCAGTGTGCTTAGAGGCCACACCTTGACCGTGGGAAACAAAAATGGCAGCCTGATGTAGGAGTCAGGTGGGTGGGTGGGGGGTCCCTTACCTCAGCACCACCCGGAACTGGTTGAACACCTCCTGGATCTGTCTGAGGTTGATGATCTGGAGGGAAGGCAGCAAGGCAGCAAAGGGCTGAGGGTGTGTCTATGGTTAGTAGAGAAACCAGGACTCTTTGGCTAACCCTTTGATCATCTGTCTTAATGGAACATCGGAAATCTCAAGAACAGAGAAACAGGGGCGCCTGGGTGGCTCAGTAATTGGGCATCTGCCTTCAACTCAGGTCATGATTTCCAGGTCCTGGGATCAAGCCCTGTGTCGGGCTCCCAGCTCAGCAGGGAGTCTGCTTCTCCCTCTCCCTCTGCTTCTCCCCCTGCTTGGCTCTGTCTCTCTCTCTCAAATGAATAAATAAAATCTTAAAAAAAAAAAAAAGAACAGAGAAACAATTGATTCATAGTTTTCAAACTAAGTATTTACTGAGGTTATAAAACTGACCTCCCCTGGAACTCCTGAGTGGTGCAATCAGTTAAGCAGCTGACTCTTGGTTTCGGCTCAAGTTGTGATCTCAGGGTCGTGAGATCCAGCCCCGTATCAGGCTCCATGCTCAGCAGGGAGTCTGCTTGAGATTCTCTTTCTCCCTCTCCCTTGCCACACTTGCATGCTCACGCTCTCTCTCTCAAATAAATGAATCTTTAAAAATTACCTTTTCTAAGTGAAGGTCTCTATAAAATTAAAATGACTCTAGTTCTTGAAAATACTAAGAAAAAAATTTTAGTAACATTTATGGTCTTCAGCTCGCTCCTGTTTCTACAAGGTTCCGTTATGAACTTTCTGTGTGGCACATACACATCTGTGGCTAGAGGAAGGCCAATGGCTTCCCTCTTGGCCCTACAGACCACAAGCATTACCCTTGACGGAGGGTCATTCTGGGACTAACCCTGCTCCAAGGCCAGAGGAGCCGCCCCTGTTGTCCCAGGCTTGCCAGTTATAGCTGCCACAGTAACAGGCCGGCGGGGGGGGGGGTGATCTGCCATGTAGCTCCCTGATGAGGGGTTTGCTGGCCTGCACTGTAAAAGCAGAATGCATCCTTCCCTCTGAGGACCCTTCCCTGTGTGGCTGCAGTCTCTTCCTCCTTGGCCTACTCCAACACCGGCCCTGAATGTCTGCCCTGTCAGCCCGCATGACCATCATCCTTGAATGACCTCACTCCGCCCAGCACAGCAGAGCACCTGAGCTGCTGCAGCTCAGTTAATTCCACTTTGGTTTCCCTCCTCACTCCAAGTACACGAGATTGAGCGTTTTGCTGAAGTCACTCAGCAAGGAGACAACTGAGCTGAGCTGGGATCCAGGGCAGCCCGGCTCCAGGGACCGCACCTGTGCCCGGGGTGATGGACCACCCTGTGTGGTCAAATCTGTTCAAGGCCGCTGGCCACTCTGAGGGGCACACCCATCCTCGTAACCCTCAACATGGATGCTGAGGCCTCGGTAGGCTGTAGGGCCCAAGGCCAGGGGTCCAGCACCACCCACCCCATACCCCCTGCACCCACTTGGTGTGAGGTTCCAAGGCCAGCCCAGCCCAAGGGTGGAAGCCCAGGATAGGAAGGCCATGGTCCCGAGGAGAGGCTCCTTACGTCGATCTCGTCCAGCGTCCCCTCCAGGTACCTCCGCACCTGGGAGTTGATCTCAGCAATCTGGATTTCATCCATGGGATCATAGTTCACAAGGGTACGGTTGGCCTTGGAGGAGGATGAAGAACATGTCAACAAGCTCCAAACATCTGAGCCCAACAGGGGCCGCAGGGGTCATTCTGAGAACCAATCAGGGGAGGTTGGACACAGGGCAGGACCACTGGGTCCTGGCCAGGTGCTCGGGTCACAGAGGGACAACTGGGTCTCGAGAGCCGCCTGACACGGGCTTGCCACTCCAAGCAAGGGGACTCTGCTGGCTGAGTCTCAGCAGACTCTGTAGCATGAGGGCCATGGGAGGGGGGTGGCTGCCTCTGCCTTAAGAGCCCCCCTGGACCGTGAGCAGGCCCAGGCAAGCCACCAGAGGTCTCCCGTTCCCACCCTCTGCTGCCGTCCCCTCCCCCACTGCCCAATCTGCCCCACCTCCCCTGACCCTGACCATCACGCTGTCTGCCCCTGCCCTAGCTGCCTGGGACCTGGCCCCCTGCCCCTCGTTCTCCTGTCAACCGTCTGACTCCACTCCCTGATATCTGACACCCATGCCCACATCCTCCTGCTCTTCCAGGATCCCTGCCCTTCAGGCATTCCTGCTCCCCAGCACCACCCCCCTGGCCAAGTCTCCCTGCCTAGTTGGCCCTCCCACCCATTTGGCTCCTGTCCACCCAGTACCCTGACCCCAGCCCCTCTAGCAGTCCGGCCAGCCCCCACTCCAGACCCCTGCCTCTAGCCCCTTACCAGGCTGTCATGGATGGCCAGCTCCTGCTTGAGCAGCACCAGCTCCTTCTCCAGGTTCTTGACCATTCGCTGCCAGGAAACAGTTTGGGGAGGAGCAGGGAGGACAGTCACAGAGGCCACCCTGCCTCTTCCACATCAAGCCCACAATTCCCTAACCTATGCCTGGACATCTCGGCCCCTCCTGTAAACCCATGGGGTGTTGATGTCAGCATCTGGACAATTCCCTCCCCGTTGGTGACTTTTCCCCAACTGCGGTGAGTTTAGGGTCTTTGGGGGCCTCAGCAGTCCCCTGGCCTCTGCTTTTACAGCAGCGGAGACAGAACAGAGTGAGTATAGGCACCCACAGGGCATCCTCACACCCCAACTCCTGGGAGCTTCAGATTTCCAGTCTACCAGGGTGACGGCCCTCTCAGTGCAGCCCACTGCCGCCAGGATGCTTTCCAAGTACAGCCGTACCTTCTACCCTCATCCTTCCCAACTGCACAGATATGTCACGGTTCCCTGCTGACGATCAGGTACATCACCTCTAATATTTTTGCTGCTACAAACAATGCCGCACAGCATTTTTGTCCTTCTATCTTTGTGTCTTTCTAGGTTTTTGTAGGATCATGCAGGCTCTTTGTGACCTGCCCCCATTACTTCTTCCCTACTGTTCCCCCCCTCCCAGTTCCTTCCAGTCCTACCAAATTGGCACACTTCCGCCTCTGCCTTGCCTGTCCCCTCTGCCCAAGGACACTCTTCCCCCAAGCATTGCCCTGGCTCACCCCCACACCTCCTGCAAGCCTTTGTTCAAAAGCTTCTAAATTAGGCATACGTCAATCACCCCACGGAAAGCTGCAATCCCCTCCCCACCCCCACACCACTCTTTTTTGCAAATCTTGCTCTAATTTTTTTCATAGCACCTATCACCAACATACCCTAGAGCAGTGCTGTTTAATAGAACTTTCTGTAATGATGGAAATGGTCTGTATCTGTGCTGTGAGTTACATGTAGCTACTGAACACTTGAATGTCACTAGTGTGACCCAGGAAGTGAACTTTTAATTTGATTTAACTAATGTAAGTAGCCCCAAGCAAGTAGCAGCTACTGTACTGGATGGTGGAGCACTAGAACTTACCTCTCTCTCTCTCTCTTTTTTTTTTTTTTACATTTAAAGAAATCTTTAAAGAGAACTGTATGCAGGCATACCTGATTTCATTGCATTTTGCTTTACTGAACTTCCCAGATACTGCATTTTTTTTTATAAATTGAAGGTTTGTGGCAACCCCATGTCAGGCAAGTCTATTTTTCCAACACCATTTGCTCACCTCATGTCTGTATCACATTTTGGTGATTCTCATAATATTTCAAACCTTTTCATTTTTACTATATTTGTTATGTGATCTGTGATCAGTGATTACGACTTGCTGAAAGCTCAGATGATGATTAGCATTTTTTAGCAATAAAGTATTTTTTTAACATTTACTTATTATTATTATTATTATTATTTTTTTTTTTTTGCATAGGCTCCCCGCCCAGCATGGAGCCCAACATGGGGTTTGAACTCATGCTCCTGAGATCAAGACCGGAGCTGAGAGCAAGAGTTGGATGCTCAACTGACTGAGCCACCCAAGTGCCCCATCGAAAGAGCATTTTTTAAATTAAGGTATGTACATTTTTTTTTAGACACAATGCTACTGCACACTTAATAGACTACAGAACAGTGTAAACATAACTTTTATAGGCACTGGGAAACCACAAAATTCATTTAACTCACTTAATTGTGACAGTCAGTATATTATAGTTGTCTGGAACTGAACCCATGATATCTCTGGAGGTATGAATATTTAAGGTGTACAACATGAAGTGATTGAAGTGATTACTACAGTCAAGTTAATTAACATATCTATCTCCTCACCTAGTGACCGGTGGTAAGAGCTTCTGAGGTCTACTCTCTTAGCAAATTTCCAGTATACAATACAATACTATTAACTATAGTCACCATGTTACACATTAGATCCCCAGGACTTATCCATTCCATAAATGAGAATTTGTGCCCTTTGACCAACATCTCCCCTCTCCTCAGTCCCTGCCCCTACTCTTCGTAACCACTGCTCTACTCCCTGCTTCTATTAATCTGACCTTTTAGGTTTACATATAAGTGAGATCATGCCATATTTTTCTTTCTATGTCTGGTTTATTTCACTTGGCGTAATGTCCTCCAGGTCCACCCGTGTTGTTGCAAATAGCAAGATCTAGACTCACTTCTTTTTTTTTTTTTTATAGCTTATTTCTTTAAGTAATCTCTATACCCAACATGGGGCTCGAACTCACAACCCGAAGATCAAGAATCACATGCTCTCCCAACTGAGCCAGTCAGGCACCCCTAGACTCCCTTATTTCTTATATTTATTATCTCTCTCTCTCTCCCACCCCCAGCAGACCATCAGCTCTTTGAAAACAGACATGTGTGTTTATTTGTATACTAACACTCCAAGTGCTTCAAAAGTGTCTGGTACATGGTAAGTGCTCTGTAGATTTCAAGTAATGGATAAATGATATTTCTAGAAACAGAATTGCTGAGTCATTTTACAGTTGATAGATACTGCCCTAGAGTCTTTCAGATGAGAGCCACAAGGGATTTTAAGCTGAGAATCTTCACTGTGAAGAGGGCTTCAGTTGTCAAAAAATGGCCACTGGAGGGAGCTCCTGACAACTGGATCCTGGGACTGGTGACCAAAGCTGTGACCAGTCTGCAGCAAGGGGTGACAGAACCCTGGCATCCTGGTGGCTCTGTGGCAATTCAGGGCACAAAGCCTGGGACTCAAAGCACATGGCCAGGGTCCAAATCCTGGCTCTGCCCCTCTGGGAAGCCCCAAGATGGTCTCTTTCAGGTAGACTTCCTATGAGGTCAATGGGAGAGGCTTGGTGGCCAGCCCCTCCTCTCAGCTGAGGGATCTCCACTCTGGAAGAGACATCATGCCCAGTTAGGGAAAGTCTGGTTGCACCGTTGAGGGTCCCCGGCGGGATGACTGTCCAGTGTGGCACAGGGAGCCGGGCTTAGATCTCTGGGCCAGTCAGGTGATGTGGGGAAATGGGCCATAGGCTCCCAGGGTAACCAGCTTCCACGTCGCAACCTGAGAGCATAGGAGCTGCTCCCCCTAATGCCTGGCAGACTTAGTGGTCTCCACCTGGCCCCCCTATACTGATTGGAAAAGCTGCTCAGAAACATAGGGCTAGAGCAGCAGACCCCACAGAACAGGACCTGGCAGCACCTCCTGGCTGACTGACTCCTTTTTTTTTTTTTTTTTTGGTACCCCAGGTAGAACACAACACCTGACCAACTCCTTTAAAGATCAGGGACATTTTCTGGATGGAATCAGCACAGACTCACATAAGTTTCCTGATGGTCAGGGGTTTTCAGCATAAACGTAATGAGGATAATTCAGAAAGTTCTGTTTAAGTAGCACGCCAAGCTAGGAGTGGCTTTCTGCCCAGGAAGCTTCCCTCATTGACCTCCCGCTCCCTGCGGCCTGCAGGCCCTCTCTTCTCTCAGCAGAGCAGAATACCAAGTGTCTCTCTGTTGCTTGTTTATGCCCGAGGCTCGCAACTTTTACACCCCCTCACAGAATCACAGATTCCCAGAGCGGGAGGGTCACTGGAGTTCATCAGTCCAACCCCTAGTTCAAGGGTGAAAACTCCGAGGCTCAGAGACAACTGTGGCAGACGCAGATCAGGAATCCAGTCTCCCGCCTTTACAACCAGCCCCACCGCCAAGGAAATTCTGTGGAAGCTCCCCCACCGCCTTGAAAACAGGCATCGATACTGAGAATGGCACTAGAAATAACACAGGCAGGCTGGCTGTAGTCCAGGGAAGGGGGCCACCAAAGTAACTTCTCAGGTCTCTCTCAAGAGCTCATGCTCATAAATGCTGATCATAAAGATTATAGACACGGTCACGTTGGATGTCATGGAGACTTGGTTGGCCAGGACCAACAATGCCAATTTCAGAAAATTACATGGAAGGGCATAGAAGTTCCTGCACAACGCCTACAACCCAGCCAGGTTTGTACGCGGCGATGCGGGGGTCCCGAGCTCAGAGAACACCGGACGAAAATAAATAAAACCTCCAAGCTACAGAAAAGCATAGTAAATAATGCCATGAAACCTGGGAAGACCACCCCAAAACCTGACTTGAACAGCATGCTGCCCTATTGGCTTCAGTTTTTTTGTTTTTCATTTTAAGAGATAAAACATGGCAGATAAAAATGAAGCCCCTATGAACCTCACTCTATCCCCCCTGACACCCCAACCCCTGCCTGCCTGGGGTTCAGATACCTGCACATGTTTGAGAGCCCATGGCTCTAAGCCACTCCCCTCCTCAGCCTCGGTTTGGTCTCCCCCCGCCCCATGCTTTTTTCTTTCACTGCACTTGCATCTATCCATTAACGATATTCAGCTTTGCTTTGCACATTTTTAGATTCGGTGGAAATGAAAGAGTCTATCGTTTTGCCCGCTGCAATCCCACTTGAGATTATCTATGCTTGCAGCTCGAGCCCCAGCTCCCTCCCTCCGTGACTCACTTAGCTACTCTCCTGTTTATTAAAGGCTACTGATCACAGCCCCAGCTTCTCACTATACAATGAGCAGCATGAGCTCTGTTCTGCTCCAAGGTTGCTCACACACATATGCAAAGAATGCTTCTAGACTATCCACCCAGAAAGGGACGCTGCTGACCTGCACGTGTGAGTGAGTAGAGGACTAGCTAAAATATTTACTGAGCATTTACTCCATGACAGCACTGCGTTAAGGGGTTTCTCCCTGTTATCTTATTCTTCACAACGTCTCTTTGAGAGTGGATTCTGCTACTTCTCCAATTTATCATCAAAGACCCTGAGGCTTAGAACGGAGAAGCATCTCGCAGAGGTTAGGCAGCTGATGGAAGGAAAGAGCAAGTGGCCGCACCAGGACAGCCCGATGTGGGGGCCACAGCTCTTGACTGCTGTGCCAGTGGTTCTCAAGTGTGGCCCCAGAACAGCAGCGGGGGACTTACTAGAAATGTGAATCCTTAAGCCTCACCCCTCCACCAATGGAATCAGAACTCTGAGAATGGGTCCAGTGAGCTGCTATTCCAGAAGCCTTCCCGGGGTTCAGATACCTGCACATGTTTGAGAGCCCACGGCTCTAAACCACTCCCCTCCTCAGCCTCCAAGCCATGGGTTAGCTCCAAAAAACCACAGAGACCGTTATTTTCCGTCAGGATTTAGAATCTGGAAGGTTTAATTAACTGCTTTGTCATGGGCTTAGGGCACGCATATGCTCCGGTCTCTGGTAACCATGATTCTACAAGCATCCCAAAGGAAAGCCAAATTATTGGTAAATGAGTTTTGATTTTGCCAGCTGTTGCCAAAATGCTCTCCAAAGCAGCTATATGGATGACACTGGCCAGAAACAGACAAGCGCTCCTGTCTCTGCACATCCTCACCGTCATTCTCCATGATTGGAACAATTCTAGTTTTGGCTAGTGTGAGGGTGGAATTCCACTAAGCTTTGAACCTGCATTTCCCTGGTTAATGGTGATGCTGAGCATGCCTTCTGGTTGGTCAGCTGTGCTTGCTTAGAGGGATCACACAGGCTGGGAGGAAAGAGGTTTTGTAGTGACATAACCAGATGAGTCTAAGAGTCGGTCCACACTTACTTAACTCTGAAATAGCTCGAAGGAACTCTCATATAGAAGCCCCGGGTAGTCAGAGGCCCTGAAGCCTCACATATGAACTGGGTGGTAACCTGAGCCTTTCACCTGTGTCAGCACCCCTAGGGTGTCTCCAGTGACTCTGAAGACTCTGGCCTGTCCCAGCGTGTAAAAGGACTGACCCAAGATTGCATGGGTATCTTTAGTTGAGGCAGGAAGGGAAGTCAGGCTTGTGTGACCCAGGCAGCACACCCACACACCTTCTCCACAGTGACACACCTGCCCACAAGCCCCTTAGTACCTCAGCATCATACTTTTCGTTGATGGCAGGCTCTGTGGTGACCAGCTTCATCCGGCTGGCAAACCGCAGGGAAGAAAGCTGAAAAACAGATCAGACAGACCTTAATGTCTCTGGCCAATTGCTTGTGAGTGGAGATATTTGCAAAGCAGATCAAAGGAGTCCACCAGGAAAGATGAATCTCTGCACATAGACATATTCCAAAGTGAAGTAGGGGGTCTCCTTCTTGGGGGTTCCACCCAAGTCCCTCTGCAGGGGCAGCCAGGCAGGGGTAATTATGGCTGGAGGCCATGAGGCAGCCACATAAGCAGGCCCTTGAGAAAGAGCCCCAACACCATGCCCCACTGCACTGCTGTTGCGTGCGAGGCAGAGGGCTGCTCCCTGGCAGGGGGGAACAGCCAGTGATAGCACAAGGCGGGCCCCGAGATCCCAACCTCACACCATGCCGGCTGACTCAGGGCCCTGAAACAGAGGGGCTTGGGCGGCAGGGGGGCGGGGGGGTGGTCACCCAGGAGTGACCCAGAAGAAGGCCTGAAAGGGCTCTTCCTTCAAGCAGTCTGGTCTAGTGGTTAAGAACTCTGCCGCTGACCAACCGCGCAACCTCAGACAGGTTTTGGAACTTCTCTGTAAAGTTGGGGAGAGCTGCCTCCCAGAGCCTGGGAGGCTTAGTGAAGAGGTATGTAATGCGTTCTCTACAGAACTGGCCCACAGCGAGCCCTCAGGAGGAGTCCCCTGTCACCGCTGCTGGAGCGGCTTCTGTGTGGGCCAGAATCAGGCTCTCCTGCTCCGAGCACAGCAGCAAGTTCAGCCAGGACTCCCTCGCTGCATCTACTCCCACACATATCACAAGCAGTGCCACTGAATAAAGCAACATGATCCTTGACGGGAACTGTGTGAACGTTTTAAAGCCTTTGAAAAAGAGAACCATTAGCTTCCACACCCCAATCGGCCTTTGTCCCAAACCCTTGAGGCCAGCAGCTCTGGGCTCTGTGGGCGCCGCCCTGGGTCACAAAGCTCTGGGGATGGCAGGTACCAGGAGAGCTGCTTCCTGCACAGTGACCATCTCAGGGGTGGGGATAAGGAGAGAGAGGGGCCTTCCACTGTCCTGGAGGGCATTTCTCAACAAGGCAGTCAGGAGGCCCAATTTTCATATGGGTCCTTTTGGGGTTCACCCGTGCTTTGTCAAGCTATGAGACTGGGAGGATCCTGAAGACTTCCTCCGGGGATGCTGCCTGCACGTCAGCAGGAGCTCCCTCCCGGCCTCCCGAGTCCCAGGGCACCCTCTCTGGACGCGCAGGGCTGGTTCCTAATGCAAGAAACTGGGAGGCCCTGCAGTGTGCCTCGAAAGGACCTGTTTCGCCCAAGTGGATTCTCCAGATGACTGAAGCCTGCCATAAATACCCACACTTGACAAAACAAAATGCCTGTGGAGAGCTTTCCAAATCTGCCTTATTTATGGTGAGTGGCCCTTCAGAGGAAGAAGGGAGCCCCCACCGGGGGGCCCAGCTGTGTGAGCTCACCTATGTCACCGCCTAAGCCATTAGGGCTCATATGACTGCCTCTGATTCTCATAAGCTTGTCCCCTCCCAGGTCACCAGGGTCCTGCAGCCTGGTTAATCTCCCTGCATCACAACTCAGGCCACAGCCCTCCCCTACTCAAACCCCATGACACCCCAGCAACTAGCGGAATACCCAAGGCGTCAGCCTGGCCACCTGCGCCCACGAGGCCTCTACCGTTTTTTCTCCCCCTCTCCTTCCCAGGCCCTCCCCTGCAGTGGCCAGATATTCCTTGCAAGGCCCACACCTTCCGGCCCACAGTCCCCTCTGCCAGGAGCATCTCTGCTTTCTGTACCACCCATCCTTTAACCCCAGCCGGCTCAGTGCCCACCCTCCTCACCCCAGTTTCAGGAAAAGTCCCGCTTCCTCTGACGGGCTCCTTCATCTGGGCCTCTCACGTTCCTGAGGGCCATAGCAAGGAACTCTGAGGCCTCGGGCCACAGATAACTCACCTCTACCCCCCACCACCCTACACACAGCACATGCTTATCACCTGTCAGCTCACACAGGCCTTATAACCACATGGTACTTCTAAGATTTTTAAGTGTATAATTATGAAGAACAAGAAATCCACTGTCCTAGATCCCAATTCACAGGAGCAGCACCCCAGGCAGCATGGTCCTTGCCCCCTGCGAAACTCTCTCACACAGGCCCCCACACTGCGCCTGTTTCTTGCCTTGTCTCCTCCTCAATACACCCTCTGCCCCTTGGTACTTGGTATGTGGATCCTGCCTGGGTCTCCCACAGCAATTTTGGCTGATTCATCCCCTGGATCCCTTCCCTCTTGACAACGTCTATGGCTAAGTATGCCAGCTTAGCCAGCCCAGAGCCAGCCCTACCCAGCCCTGGAACCCGTGAGAAGGATTCCAACTAGGCCGCATGGGCTGTCTTTACGTACCGTCTCTTCTAACTGGGCAGCTTCTCCATAGATGTTCGTCAAGAGGACCATATTGCAATTTCCCCCTGCAGAAAGCAGGACACAGAAGGGCCATGAACCATGTGGGTTTTCTGCCAAGAGAGTCCTTTAAGGCTGGTGGGGGTCTGTTATGGATTGAGTGTTTGTGTCCTGTCAAAACTCCTTTGTTGAAGTCCTATCCCCCAATGTGATCGCACCTGGAGATGGGGTTTGTGGGAGGTAATCAGGTTTAGATGAGGTGCTGAGGGCGGAGCCCCATAATGGGATTAGTGCCCCTATAAGAGAGAGAGAGACCAGAACTCTGTCTCCCTTTCTGGTCCCTCTCTCGTTTCTTTCTTTCTCTTGACCATGTGAAGGCATGGCAAGAAAGCAGGCGTCTACAAGCCAGAGAGTCCTCACCAGAAACCATCCATGCTGAACCTTGATCTGGGACTTGCAGCCTTCAGAGCCTTAAGAGATAAATGTCTATTGTGTAAGCCCCCGAGGTCTGTGGTGTTTTGTTAGGGCCACCCGAGCTGACACAGGCAGGGTCACAAGGGACACATCCAAGCATGTATGAGGCTGGAGGAGGGAACGGAAGGGGAGAGGCCACTGGATGTACCTAAAAGGGAGGGGAGACAGCAGAGGAGAGATGGCAATGGGGCAGGGAGGGGCAGGGGAGAGGGCTGTGGGCCAGGGCTTTGCTACCGGCGGCACTCCATGAATAATCAGACACCCGTGACTGTGCCATCAGGCCCAACACCAAAGCCTGGAGACACAAGGCCATGAAGGATTCTGCCAGGTTTAGGGAGGGGAAAGGAGAAGGTATTCCCAGCAGAGGCAAAAGCTCCAGCCAAGGTTCTGAGGGAACAGCAGTGCATGCCGTGGGTGACATGAGAGGGTACCCCACATGCTGTGTCTGTGTCTGGGGTCACCGAGAAAAGGCTGCAGGGAAGTGCAGGCCAGCGGAAGGGAGCAAGTCCATGATCGCCAGCAGCAGCTAGGCAGGGCCTGTCCCTCCTCCCCGGATACCAACTGCACCCTCACCTAATGAGTCCTTCAGGGCGTGGGTGAGCTTGCACTGCCGGAAGGGGATGTGGTCCCGCTTCTGATCCCCGAGGGCAATGATGGCCTGCTCTAGGAATGACAGCGACTTGTTGATGTAGGTGGCTTCCTTCAGCACACGGCCCTCTGACTACAAAGCAAAGGTCAAGTCCACTTCACACCAAATAGGGAGGCTGCCCCGCGGAGAATGCTGCAGGTGGGTGGCCAGGCCAGAGCCTCCTTCCCCGAGCCAGCTCTCCTCTCAGTGTCCTGGGATTGTATCCCATCTCGGGCGAATACTAATACTCCCAGGAATGCTCATGCAAACATTCATGGCAGCGTTCACGTGAATATGAATACTTACGTGAATATTCATATGAATACTCACTTAAGAGTCACACCAGCATGAATATGCACAGGAGTATTTGTGTAGATACTTGAGGAAATCATCCCGAGGCTATCATACACATAAAAACGCTTATACAAATGCACATAGGAGGGGCACCTGGGTGGCTCAGTCAGTTAAGTGTCTGACTCTTGATTTCGGCTCAGGTCATGATCTCAGGGTCTTGGGATTGAGCCTGGTGTCGGGCTCTGTGCTCAGCGTGGAGTCTGCTTGTCCCTCTCCCTCTGCTCCTCCCCTCCCTGCGCACAAGCTCTCTCTCTCCTTCTTTCTCTACCTCTAAAATAAATAAAATCTTTTTTAAAAAAAAGGCACATAGAAATGCTCACTGCATACTCCTGTGAATACTTCTGCTGCTATTCACATTCATATGAATATCTGAGATGAAAGACTCATGTGAACACTCACCCTCATACACAGAAATGCTAACACTAGCACAAAGCATTTACTGAGCACTTACTGAGAGCCGAACACCTTGCTAAGAATTTAGGGGCCATCATCTCATTCAATGTTTACAAAAATGCCATTAGGTGGGAACTGCAACTATGTTGCTGCTGGTTCACCTCTACTAATTCCTTCCCCCTAGCAACACCTCTACTAATTCCGTCCCCCCAGCAACACGTGGTCAAGCCCATGTGCTCTAGTGTGCCTAGCTGAGGACTGGGCTCACAAATGCCCCCTGAGGGACGGCCCATGTGCACAGCCGCTATGCCGGAAACAGGGCTGTGGTTTGTTGGGAAGGAACCTCCCGCTACCCACTTACCCCAGACTTCCCCAGCCTTTCCGAGCCCGCTAGATCCACCAAGTTAATTTTGGAAGTGATGTACTTTTCGTCTGATAAAGTCCGTGAATGGGCCTACGAAACATCCAAACAGAGGTGAGACGTCACAGGGAGAAGCTTCTGACAGAGCCGGGGCACGCGAGACTCGGCCGCCCCTCCCAGGCTATTTAAGGAGCTCGCACTCACCTCCACGTAGATGGTGAAAATGCAGTGTGACCGGGATGAGTTTTTGTTCATTGTGTGGGAGGCGATAATCCTATTGGTCTCTCCCTGAAGAGGAGGGGGAACATAGAAAACATTTTGAAAAATTACTTTTAAAAATTATGAGAAATGAATTAATTTGTATTTTTAAAGGCACAGCAGGCCCTTGTTTCTAATTCACAGGATTGGGACCTATGACCAGAATACACTTAAAGATGTGGTGGAAATGGCTGTTCTTAGGAGAAAAAGGTCCTTGTGGGAGGGACTCCACAGTCCCCTTAAAGGCCCCAGAGAAATGCTCTGAACAAGTCCCAAAGCAGTGATGACAGGGCCCCCAGGGGAGGGGAGGGGAAGCCCTGAGCTGCGGAGCAGACCTGGCTGCCCCCCTGGCTGACCCCCATGGCCATATCTCCAACAGCTTCTCACTGTCGCCTGTCCTACAAATTCAGTGACATTCACCAAGAGCGTAAGGGGTCACGTCACCTTCATCCTTCAGTCCCCTTTGTGAAGTGCCCTCTGCCCTTGTCTTTCTGGCTTCCACGAGACAACCTCTGATGGCCTGAGAAGTGCGCTTCCCTCCGTGAAGAGTCCTTTGCTAACTGCCCCCGAGCCTTCCTTACGCGGCATGGCAGTCTAGGAAACTCCACCTGACCTTCCCTCCCTTCACCTGAGGTAGGACTTGCACCGTGGCCTGACAGCTGTCCAGCCTTACCCAGTTCCCTTCCTGCTTCCTTGACACGGGAACCTCTCCTCTCATAAAACCTATGCACATTTAATCCCATCTTGGCATCTGCTTCTCAGAGAGCCCAGACTAACATACTTTGAAAAGACTGCTGAATAGACTGACAGTTGACTTCTCACTACTAATGATGGAAACCATAACTTTGCAATGATGTCTTTAATATGGTAGAAGTGGAAAAAATGCCAAAATAGAATATTACGCCCAGCAAAAATATCTTTCGAGATTGAGGATAAAATAAGGACATTTCAAAAAACAAGAAACTCTTTGTCACCAGCATGCTCACCGTAAAGGATGTAGAACAGAAAGAAGGAAAACATTCTCCAGGGGAAGGTTATGGAGAAAAGAAAGGAAAAGCAATGAAAGTGGTAATATGAGGGTAAATGTGAAAGAATGCAGACTATATAAGATGTTAATAATGATGCCCCTGCAGAGTCAAAAAACAAAAACGTAAAAGACAAGGCGATGATCCTAAGGTTCTTACAGAATCCAGGAGGAGGGAGAGGTTTTTATGAACTTTAGATTTTGAAAGGTGTGATTTTAAAGTAATTATAACATGAATAAAATGGTAATGTTATAGTAAAACATAACATTATGATAAAATGACATTTTATTTTGATCCACCACAGGAAGTTTCAAAGAAATGGACAGGCAAGTCCTCTGTACCCTTCACTCAGCCTCTCCCCATGATAAGAGCTTGCAAAACCACAGCACAGTATCAAAGTCAAGAAGCTGACACGGAACCATGAGAGATGATGGACTCTGAAAAACAAACTGAGGGTTCTAGAGGGGAGGGGGGTGGGGGGATGAGTTAGCCTGGTGATGGGTATTAAAGAGGGCACGTTCTGCGTGGAGCACTGGGTGTTATGCACAAACAATGAATCATGGAACACTACATCAAAAACTAATGATGTAATGTATGGTGATTAACGTAACAATAAAAAATTTAAAAAAAAAGAAGCTGACACAGGTATAACCCACAGAGATTATTCAGATTTTACCAGGTAGATATGCTCATTTGGGTGTGCATGTATGTGTATTAACTAAATGTGCAAGTTGTTATTTCTAGGATAAACTGAGAGAGCGAGGGAATATAAATATGAATGAACATATAACCTCTAAATTAGTAAAGAGGGCAACAGGACAATAAAAAATTAAATATTCAATTAAAAAGAGGGCAGGGGCGCCTGGGTGGCTCAGTCGGTTAGGCGTCTGGTCATGATCCCGGGGTCCTGGGATCGAGCCCCACATGGGGCTCCCTGCTCAGTGGGGGGGCCTGCTTCTCCCTCTCCTTCTGCCCCTTCCTCTCCGCTCGTGCTCGCTCTCTCTCTCTCTGTCTCAAATAAATAAAATCTTTAAATAAATAAATAAAAGAGGGCAAAACAGGTAAGAAAAATAAATGTAGAACAAATGGAACAAAGAGAAACCACACAGTAACACGACAGATGCAAACCAGCTATAGGCGTAATTTACATTAAGTGCAAGTGGAATGAAATGCTTCAGTTAAAAGACAAAGACTGTCGCACCACCAAGACCGAGTTATGATGAAACAGAAAATATGAACAGACCAATTACTATTAGGGAGATTGATTCAGTAATCAAAAACCTCCCAACAAATAAAAGTCCAGGATCAGATGACTTCACTGGTGAATTCTACCCCTGGATTTTTTTTTTTTTAATTTTATTTGTTTGGGGTGCCTGGGTGGCTCAGTCCGTTAATCGTCTGCCTTCGGCTCAGGTCATAATCCCAGGGTCTTGAGATCGAGTCCCGCATCAGGCTCCCTGCCTGGGAGAGAGCCTGCTTCTCTCTCAGCCTCTGCTCCCCATGCTTGTGCTCTCTCTCTCTCCCTCCCTCCCTCTCTGGCAAATAAATAAATAAAATCTTTAAAAAAAAAGATTTTATTTATTTATTTGAGAGAGAGAGAGAGAGTAAAGAGAGAAGTGCACAAGTGCCGGGGAGGAGCAGAGGGAGAGGGAGAAGCAGACTCCCCACTGAGCAGGGGGCCCCATGCAGGACTTGATCCCAGGACCCTGGGATCATGACCTGAGCTGAAGGCAGACACTTAGCCAACTGAGCCACCCAGGTGCCCCTCTACCCCTGGATATTTTTTAAAGAAAATCCTTTTATATGCTCTTTACACAAAAAGCCAAACAAAAAATTCACACACAATTCACTTAACCTAAAATCAGGAATTTTTTTCATTAAATAACACAAAAAAAGAGAAAGAAAAAAAGAAGCCACAGGAAACATAAGATATTTGCAATACGTATAATTGAAAAAGAATTAGTTTTCTGAGTATATAAAGAATTCATGCAGATCAGTAAGAGAAAGAAAAAAGGACATCAAAAAACCAAAAGACAGGAAAAGGGAAATCCACATGGTCAATAAACACATGAAAAGGTCCTTAATTTCATTAGTAATGAAAGATGAAAAGGGAAGACCACAGTGGGAAACACCACACACCAGCCAGATTGGTCAAAATTTTAAGGTCAGAACACTCAGGATTCTGATAACCTGCTGTGGGAGTGTACCATTATGGAAAAGAGTTGGCACTGCCTAAGAAAACTTAAGACACACATACTCAATGACCCATATTGGCAGTCCTAGAAAAATTCATGCTACGTGCACCAACAGATATACAAGAATGGTCCCAGTGGCATTGTCTGAAATATCCCCCGAATTACGAAAACCCAAACGTCCATTAGTAGAAGAGTGGATAACTAGCTTGTAGTATATTCACCCAATGTAATACAATGATAATGACAATGAAAAATATACAGCAAGAATGCAGATGCATTTCACATAAAAAGTAGATAAAAGGGAAAAGTAATCAGACAGAATTCATCCTGCGTGATTCCTTTCATATAAAAAATTTCAAAAAAATTAAACTACACTTGCTGTGGGAGGAAACATGGGTGATAAAGCTACAAAGACCAATGAAATGATCACAGGTCAGGAGGGTGGTTATTACTAAGGGTATGAATAAATACTTATTCATGATAAAAAAAAAAAAAACTCTTCCCAAACTTGGACCTTCTTTAACCTGAAGCCACCAAAATCCTCCAGCAAACATCATTAGTCACGGTGAAATGTTAGGAGCAACAAGAAGACAAGAATGCCCTACAGCTGCCTCCTGGGACGCTCTCTTCCCTGTAGATGCAAGGGCTCCAGGTGTAAAGCACCCCTGAGGACACCTAGGTGACTTTTAAAAAAAAGTTTTATGGACACATAATTTAAATAGCATAAAATTCTCTGTTTTAAGCATACGATGCAGTGATTGTTTTTTAGCAAATTTACAGAGTTATGCAACCATCACCACAATCCTGTTTTAGAAATGTTGTGTAACTCCAAAAAGTTCCCTGGGCCCATGTGCAACCATTTCCCACTCTTTCCTCTGGGTAACCGCTAATCTGCTTTCTATCTCTAAAGATGGTGTCTATTGGGACATTTCAAATGAGTGGAATCATACAGTATGGATCTTTTGTGTTTCTTTTACTGAGCATTTTTTTGAGACTCATCCATCTTGTAGCATATAACAGTAGTCCACTTCTTTTTATTGCTGAATAGTTCTCCATCATATGGATGTACCACATTTTGTTGATCCATTCACCGTGTGATGGATATTTTGGTTATTTCCAGTCTTTGGCTATTATGAATAATGCTGCTACAACATTTGCCTACAAGTCTTTGTGTGAACAGATGCTTTCGTTTCTCTTGGGAAGATACCTGGGAATAGAATTGCTAGATCTTATGATAAAATTAGTGTTTAACTTTTTAGGAAACTGCCAAAATGGCTGCACCATTTCACATTTCAGCAACAATGTTTAAGAGTTCCAACCTAGGGGCGCCTGGGTGGCTCAGTCGGTTAAGCGTCTGCCTTCGGCTCAGGTCATGATCCCAGGGTCCTGGGATCGAGCCCCACATCCAGCTCCCTGCCCAGCGGGGAGCCCTGCTTCTCCCTCTCCCTCTGCCCCTCCTCCCCTTCATGCTCGCTATCTCTCAAATAAATAAATAAATAAATAAACAAATAAATAAAATCTTAAAAAAAAAAAGAGTTCCAACCTAAATGACTTTTAAAAGAATAGCATACGCTGGGGAATTTACAGTTTTGTAAGAGCTCTTATATACTAAGGATGCTAATCCTTATTTTTTTCTATACTGCAAATGCCCATGATTTCATGTTGACTGAAAAAAAAGGACAATTTCAACTATGTTAAGAAAAAATTGCATGGGAAAAAAAGACTGGAAATGAGCCAAAACATACATTATTGTTGCTGTATGTAGGAAACAGATGAGTGAATTCTTTTTTCGTTCCCGTATTTTTTTCTTTACTATCTGAACTTGCTAATGAGCATATATAAATATTCATTCTGATTATCAAAGTAAGTAAAAAAACTAAGGAGGGAGGGAGGAAAAGAAAAAAGGGAAGAAAGGAAGGGAAGGAAGGAAGGAGGGAGGAAGGGTGGAAGGAGAGAAGGAAGGAAGGAAAGGTCCCTTAGACTTGGTCATCTCACCTCAAAAAGGAGGCTGAAGGCATCCTCCTCCTGACTTGTAAGGTGGACTGACAAGCCCTTAACGAAGACCCCTTGAGGGTTTTCCACAATGGTCATTGGTGTGACTGACGGTCCGACATAGGGCAGAGTGGACAGGAGATCAAAGAGACTCTCGTTGTAGATTTCCAGGTAGGAAACACGCACAGTGACGGCATGTGTGGGGCGTTCTGCGATCATCCTAAAAACCTGGATGAGGGATTGGACGTAGTCACGAAGAGAAAACTCCAATGACCAGCCAGTGTTAGGAGGGTTCTGACCTCAGCAGGGAATATCCAGAAGTACAGTAAAAAAATATTTGTCCTGGGGCGCCTGGGTGGCTCATATGGTTAAGCGTCTGCCTTCAGCTCAGGTCATGATCCCAGAGTCCTGGGATCAAGCCCCGCATCGGGCTCCTGGCTCAGCGGGGAGCCTGCTTCTCCCTCTCCCTCTGCTTCTCCCCCTGCTCATGCTCTCTCTCTCTCTCTCTCTCTCTCTCTATCTCTGTGTCTCAAATGAATAAATAAAATCTTTAAAATATTTGTCCTAAAAGAATTTACAGTCTAGCTGGCATGATGGTCATCATCATCAACAATCACAATTATTAGTCCACTGAGTGATAATTATTATCATGTAGTTTTCTGAGGCCTGACTTAACAGATTGAACAGCCCCATGACATGATAAATGGAAAAGACTCTGGAGTGAAGATCCCTTATTTTATGGGGTCTCACCATATAGATGCCTCTTTCACAGCCATTATTTAATTCCATTCTCACAACTCCTCTGTGATTGAAGCAAGGCAGGGGCAATGCCCACCTGTGGAAAGCTCCATGCAGTGAAAGTATTTGTCTATGATCACTCAGTTACAGAGAGAAGCCAAGCCCAAACTCAGCCTTCCCAGCTCCTAATACCCTCCCTGGTACTTATGGGCAGGTGACTTTGGACTGGTCTTTTCCTCTCTCTTGACCTTAACTTTCTTAATTGTCAAATGGGCAGTGGGGATTGGGCTGGATGATCCCTGAGATCCCCACCTTGCTCTAACAGTCTAGGTGGGTGCTGTCCAACATGGTAGACACTAGCCACAGGGGGCTGCTGAGCACTTGAAATGTGGCTGACACAAATATGAGGGGCGGAATTTGAAAATTTTTTTAAAATTGTAATTAATTTGAATTTAAATTTCAAAGCAGTCCTAAGTTCAGTTACTGGTAAACTTTTCAGTATGTTTGGAACAACTTGGGTTTATAAATCTACTTTTCCAACTGTAAATTTTATGAAATCTCAACACAGATCAAGTTTTCCTGATGAGTATTTAGTGTCTAAATTTTGAAATGGCCCGTAAGTGTAAAATACACACTGCAAAGACTTGGTGTGACAAAAATAATGCAAAATATCTCAAGAATTTTCCTACTGACTACATGCGGACATTATATTTTGCATATACTGACATAAAATATATCATTAAAATCAACTTCGCCTGTTTTACTTTTCAAACTGTGGTTACTAGAAAACTCAAAATTGCATGTGTGGCTTCCATTTTATTTCTACCAGGCAGTGCTGGACTCCACTACTGAAGTCGAAGATGCTGAGCTCCTAAAGCTTTTGACAGCGGGGCATGAAGGAGATTGCTTCACCAGTTAGAGCATGGGTGGTTTATACACTAGAGGGTCCTCTCCATTTCTTACAGGACAGGGCTAGAAAACCTCAAGACGCTTTTGGGGTAAAAGCCCTTTACCTCCTACCTCCCAACAGAGGATCCTCACAGAACTCCGAAGGAAGGGCCCTCTGTCCTATCTTCAGTCAGAGTTCCCAGACCCTCCAGGGCTGACTCAGTCCTGAACGCTCATGTTGTGCCTGCTTTTTCTCTTTGCTCTTTCTGGGGCTGTGGTGGTGGAAGAAGCCAGAGCAGGCCAGTAAGGAAGCTCTCTAAGAGTCCATACCCCCCTCATTAAAACGAGGAAGGAACATAATGATTAGGACCTCCAAATCCTCAATTACAGGATCACCGACCAGCACAGCAGCAAGAAGCCAGTTGGCACGTCCTCACAAATGAAACTGGCTCTGCACGGGCTTGGGTCAGACTCTGCAACCCAAACTCCCAGTTTCCTGAGGCCTCTGTACCCCCACCCCCTCAACGTATATCCTGTATCCGGTAGCAGGCCTGGGGTCAGCAGCAGCTGTGGTAAGGGGCGGGGAACTGTGAGGCACCCCACCTGTGGGCCCACTCTCTACCTGCTGTAGGGCACGAGGAAGGATCCCCCGGTGCTTGTAATTCTCAGTTGCCCCTGTCATGGTGTATGTCTTGCCGGCTCCTGTCTGCCCGTAACACATGATGGTACCTGCAAATATTTGGAAACACGTCTTGGTGATGTCCAGGAAAAGAGCTCCGAGGATAGCTCTCTTATCCCCCAGCATGCCTGGTGCCAGTCTGGATCCTGGTGTGGAGGTGGCCATCAGAGCAGCTGTGGACATGAGGAATTCCTGCCTTGGGAGAGGCAGGTGATGGGTGGGCAGGGAAACAGGGACATAAATGGTCTAAACACAGACCGCTGCTCTGAATCTGGCCCATGTAGTGCTCTATTTGATCCCTGTGCCAAGAGAGGATCTCACCCTCGGGCTTCTGAGCAGAGCAGGGAATATCAGGGAACAGAGAAACTGGGAATTTTCCTAGACAAGTGAGGAGGAAGACAGAAACACTGAACTCCAGCCCTTCTTTTTTTAAAGATTTTATTTTATTTGTCAGAGAGAGAGCAGGAACACAGCAGGGGGGAGGGGCAGAGGGAGAAGCAGACTCCCTGCTGAGCAAGGAGCCCGATCCCAGGACCCTGGGATCATGACCTGAGCTGAAGGCAGACGCTTAACGACAGAGCCACCCAGGTGCCCTGAAGTGAAAAATTAAGACATTCAGAATCCGGCACCACTGGTTGAACAGTCCTTCTTTAGCAAAGCCACGAACTGCCAGGCTCAGGCGTAGGCCTCCCTGGAGCTGGCCAGGCAAGAGGCAAGAAGAGCTTTCAAAATCCCCAGGAAGAAATGGGCGTGGAAAGGGCATTTCCTGTTAATGGTGAGAATTCTCTGTAGACTGCAAGTTCCCACAGGATCAAACAGGGCAGCTAGTTGGTCCCATGCCACTTTCAGAAACACCGCCATGACAGGTCCTGATCTGGTCCCACCACCCTCTCCAGGAAGACTTCATTTGCACCTGTCACGTCTATGAGGTCTACCATCACCACCAGGCTCTTGAGCTCTGGTTCCCATCTGCCCTTCCTCCTGGCTTGGCCAGCCTGAGCCAGACCCATCCCAAACGCTGCTTCAGGGCAACGCTGGGCCGTGAAAAATCAGTGTTTGCCTTCACCCCACCAATGCTCTAGTTGGTAGGTTTTACACAAGGGGCTCTAATTCAGCAAGTGAGCCGAGGTCAGAAACAGTGTCTACTAACACAAGTGTGCAGGAAGGAGTCACGGCAGCTGGCCCTCGGGGCCCATTTGTGATTCCACAGCACCCAGGGCCCAAGACTCTTAACCTCCCAGGCCTTCTTAGTTCCTCGTCTTCTACCTCTTCAAGGCCACATCCCCTCAGGGTCAATGAGGACCACGCCTATGTATCACAAGCAGGATATATTACAATGTGTGGGTGTCAACACTAAACAGACTTTTATTATTTTTTTTAATATGTTGGGTACTTTTTTTTAAGATTTTTATTTATTTATTTGACAGAGAGAATGAGAGATAGAAAGCACGAGAGGGAAGAGGGTCAGAGGGAGAAGCCGACTCCCTGCTGAGCAGGAAGCCCAATGTGGGACTCGATCCCGGGACTCCAGGATCATGACCTGAGCCGAAGGCAGTCGCTTAACCAACTGAGCCACCCAGGCGCCCCAGATTTTCAAATCTTAAGATTTTCAAGCAATCTTAGACTGAACTAGTTTCTAAAACTTTCCCAATAAAGCTGCTTTTAATTTGTTAAGACAATCAAACTCCACTCCATTTTTTCATGCTATATGTAAATAACCCTATACTAGAATAGGAAGGGTAGACTGATTTTGCTGGTAGAATGAACGGAAGTAGCTCCTAGCAGGTAGCCAAGAGAAAAGTATTTGGACTCAGTCAAACTCATAAGGACATTATCTTCCAAGCTAATTTCTGAGATATGTGAAACAGGATAATAGTTCATCCCCAGGACCTAGAGCGACAGCCATTGAATCTTCCTATGAAGGTAGGAGCCCAGAACTTTGGATCAAGTCATGCCCACAATATCACCAAGCAAATAATCGGTTTTCCACCGTAAGAATGCAGAGACAGACAAATAAGCAAACAGAAGTTAGCATGAGAGGTTATCTTTTCTTTCATTCACCATAAAATGCAACTCTTTTGAAGGGTTCTGAGGGTTCTTATGTAAAACAACTGACAATTAACTAAATTACCATTGTATCCATTGAGGGCTTGAGCAACCACGTCCTTTGCAACTGTCTCATAAACCAAGTCCTGGGAGGCATTGTGGAGAACTCCATCCAGCTTGAACGACCAGTCTGTCTGCTTGTTATTGACAACTCCTCTCTGAAGATCCTTTTTTAAGTGAATATCAATGCTCTAGGAAGAGAGAGAGTTAGTGTTTAGAAAACTGATATGAAAAACTCACTACTAGCTGAGGCCTGACCTGGAGAAAATAGAGGAAGTGAACGTTAGGAAGAACAGGGACTCCCACCAATGGGCCAATATTCCAATGAATTCTTTGGGATGGGAGAAGGAAGCTCCTGCAGGGAGGCCACACAACCCTTCAGGGGGAAGGATCAGGAAACTGGAGCACTTACTAGTTTCAGAATTTGTTACCCTAGGTTACAGGGTGCTGTTTGTCTTGGTTCCCCCATCTATGATATGGGGTCAAGCATATTTATTATGTTTCTATTAAATAAGCTTTAGACACATTCACTAAGCACAGTAAGGCCTTGGATTAGGCCAGGGAGAACAGTGGGCTTCCTGACAGAGGCCTGGGCTTGAGCCACATCTCTTACATGCTATGGGCCATTGTGAGTAATGATGAATAGCCACAGAAAAGGCTCTTCTTGACTTCTCATCGTTCCTCACTGGTATTACAGCAAATCACGGGTGCCTACCCATTTGTAATCAGCATATTTTTAGATGCACAGATTTCCAAAAAAAAAAAAAAAGTTAGATTTTTACATCCCTCCACAGCAAAACACTATGGCAGCAGCTGGGTTAGGAACCTGTTGTGTTAGGTCAATGGTAGATTCCAATCTTCACTATGGGGACTTCTGATGTAAAGAGCCTCCTACTGGATTTTTATCCTGGCTGCCCTAATCCAGGAGCCAAGACACAGCCACATGCAGAAAAAGTAAGATCAAGAGGGGCTTGGTGCATTCATACATTAAATGCTCTGCGCTTCTATGTTTGTTGAAACCATGCCCCATTTGAGCTCTTTTCTGACTGCCAAAACTTGCAAAGCTTGGGGAGTTTGCTCTTGAATTCTTCCCTTAAGGAACGTCTCACTGCTGCCCACAGTGGATTCACAGTTGTTTGCTGAGTGAAAACACAGGACTCTCTCAACCTGTCCCAAGCCTGTCATGGGCTTCAGAAAGACTGTGAGGACAGTGGTAAAGGCATGGGGATGGATAAACCTTTCCAGTTCTCTCGGTGAGTTTTTCCCACTGGTTTGGTAAGTTTAACAGTTATCAAGTTAAGACATTCTACCTGGACCCCTGGGGAGATTATGTAACAGACCTGATCACCAGAAAGTTTTATGGGTGTGGACAAACATCAGCTTTTCTGTATCAGATACAAGGCTGGAGGTTAAATGTATTAACCAAAAATATAATTAAAAATGGGAGTTTCGAGAGTTTCCTCATCGAAAGCGATTCGGGGGGAGGGGTTTGGACTTGTTGGACTCTGGAGTCCATCTGAACTTTCGTCAATTCTGTCTCGGTCCTTAAAGGCCATTTAGAAACAGGGTCACGCTGTAGCAAGGGGGGACAGAGAGCACCGGGCCGGTGACGGCAAGCACGTTGCACTTACTTTATTGTCATCTCCATATTTGATCATTTCGTGAGCAAAGTCATCGGTGGGTTTGACACGGACAAATGCATGAACTTTTTTCCTAGTGCCCATTCTAGCTAAAAAGAAGAAAATAGTGCAGCTTTCAGTAGTCGTCATCAGATGACAATTAGTGGGGAGGTGTCATTCATGAAGGAGATCAGAACAGAGTGACATGGAGTCTGTGTTTTCCTATTCCACTGAGAGCCAGTCTCCCTTTTTACCCCTAGCATGTCAGGGCTTTACCCACAGGACACGGCTCAACAAGTACAGGGGCTGACTCATCGTTTTCCACCAATGGTCCCCTAAGAGACAGGTATACAAGGCAAAAAGAATGCTCCCTTGAGGGGCCTAATCTTAGATATGTTTCCTAAAAATGTTCTGTAACGGAGTCCACTTGTGCTTTGCCTCATTCATTATATTTTCCTCTAAAATACTTAGGAAATGCATTTAAATTAATTTTCTTTTCTTCACTAACATACATTACTTCAGATGCAGCACCTCCTCCTCTACCTCCATTTGACACACCAGAAAAATGATTCCCTAGAAGTATATTTAATCTAGCCCATGCATCAAATATTCTTTCTTCTCTGGCAGTCCATTGAGAGAAAAAGTAGACAGTCCTCTACTTCCTCTTCCTCTCTCAAACCTAACTATATTTTCTTTCAGGTAGACATACTTAAATTTGTATTTCTTTATATATACTATCATGAATAACTACCATGTGTAACAAAATGTTAAAATAAATGCTTGGGGTAGCTTCATGGAATAGGATGTAAGCTTACAGATATAAGGATTAGGAAGGGAGATTTGGGTAAGTGGCCTTCCTACTATGTAGAGCTGTCCTATAATGTTAAAAACTCAAGCAAATTCAAGATGCCACCTAGCAGGGATGCTACCAAAGGGACTGTTGCATTGAGGGGAGAGTTAATTAATCTCTTAGATCCTGTCTAACTGAAGTATTTTATAAAAATTTTTAAAAATCAAGGGCACCTGGGTGGCTCAGTTGGTTAAGGGTCCAACTCTTGGTTTTGGCTCAGGTCATGATCTCAGGGTTGTGAGATCCAGCCCTGTGTCGGGCTCCATCCTCAGCAAGGAGTTTGCTTGGAATTCTTTTCCTCTCCCTCTGCTCCTCCCCCCACTCGCATGCTCTCTCTCTTTCCCAAATAAATAAAATCTTTAAATTTTTTTAAAAATTGAATTACACAACCAAACGATAACTAATAAATCTCCTATTTCATTGGCTATCAGTCTCATTGGCGAAACCACACGAGGTCCTCTCCTGAGAATGACTATGTAAAAATATTTAATACTAATTAGACAGAAAATTTTGGTTCCAGCACTGACATAGAGAACCAAAGAGGGCTTTTAAGCAGAAGGAATGATTGTGCTATTTTTATTGCTTTGAGGGGAACTTAAAACTTAGCTCTTCACGTGCCTCTTATATACTGATGACAAAGGATTAAATATTGAGAGAAAATGTCAAGAGCTCTAAGGAAAGCTAAGGAAAAATCAATCTCTAATCATCATCAATTACATTAAACCTAGTTAATACTAGAAAACAAGATGAAAGTCTATGAAAATATATTAAACTTCATTGTTTGAAACTATTAGGGAAATTAACATGATACAATTTTAAGTTGTTCAAAGAGGAAACGTTTCTAATTTTACATATAAGTTTTCCTAATGTTGATTGAATATTTTTTCTTTCCTTCTTTTTCAAATAATGGGAACAATATCATCAAGTAGTCTATGGTCGTGTACTCCTAACACTGGGCTTTCACATTTCGATAATTTCACTTTTATGGAACTATGCATATAAAGAATGTTAAAAACTCATTTATAGAGTTCATGCTCCAAATGTACAAAACACACTTGGAATAGAGACAAGGCCCAAGGGTCTGGATGTGTGCTGCATGGCATGCTTCTCTTCTGACCTCCTTCTCAGGGTTAAACCAGTTCAATAAGAAATGAGGCATTTGCCACTAAAATTACCTGTACCTTCATGGGGCAGGAAAGAGGAGTTGAAGCCAAAGAAATCTTCTGGGTATTTTTGAAAAACAAAACAAACAAACAAACAAAAACACAAAAAAACAACCAGCAAAGGAATTTGTTCAATTTATGAGGAGTCAGGGAAACATGAGACACATAGGGAGCTGATTCAATTTCATATTCAAATTGGCAAATAGCAACAGCATGGTGGTTAAGGAAAAAATAGCTTGCTTGAGCAATTGTGAAGAACTCTAACACATAAACTGATACGATGCTTATTATCTTTTAAAAACTAATTGTTAAGACCTTTGCTGTAAAGAAAAAGTCATGCATGACAGGGATTTCTTCTCTGAATTACAGTTAATTATTTCACTTTTTTTTTTAAGACTTTCATTTATTTATTTGAGAGAGAGCACTGAGGGAGAGCGAGAGGGAGAAGCAGACTCCCCACCCAGCAGAGAGCCCGACGTGGGGCTTGATCCCAGGACCCCAAGATCCTGACCTGAACCGAAGGCAGACGCCCAGCCGAGTCACCCAGGTGCCCCTAATTATTTCACTTTTTTTAAAAAAGCACATTAAATAAAGAATATTAACCTTTACCTGTATTATCTAAGAGAGGTTCATTGAATGTTACCTGATAAAAAAGATTACAGATTTTGAAAATATTAATGTCCCTCTACATTTCTAAATACAACTTGCAATGATTTCCTATTACAATTATATTAACTGTCATCAATGGCATTAAGTATTGCTACAGAAGCAAAATAAATAGATGGGCCCTGCCCTTTGTTTACAATTTCAATGATGTCGACAAATGAAACTCTAACCTGTTACAAGGCCTTCAGATGTCAAATCAAATAAGCAAACATGTCACTTTCATATTTGCCTACTGCAGACCTGTGTCCACTTGCTACATTCCTCAAGTAATTATTTCATGGAAGTCTTTTCCCAGCCACCAGGGGACAATTCAGACCTTTTAATTTTTAGAAAATGGATCTGAAAGGTGATCGGGGTAATGGCTTAACCAATTTCGGTCCTAAAAGTTTTGTCTGCAAAATTGAGCTCAAGAGATACAAAGCCACAAATGGCTCTAACATGGATCCCAAATTGAGGAAACTGAAGAGAAAAATCTCAACTTCAAGTTCACTTTGATCTAGGCTATTGGGAAGTTGAGAGTGGAGGAAGGTGTGTTTTGACACAAGCAAACTTACCCTCAATCTTTCTAAAGCTCTGGGAACCATTGCTCACACCAGTCTGAGGGCTCAGCCTCCTGCCCTGGGTGCCCTCTGAATGGAACCAGCCCAGGTGGCAGGTGCTCAGACCTCCCTCCTGGAAGCCCCCACCCACCCAGCACAAGAACAGCATAGGAAAGCCAAAGCATGCCCTCCCCTCAGACTGGGGCCTGCAACTTGCCAACATGCACATGCGCATGCAGTCCCCCTATCTTCCCAAGGCCCGCCCCATACTCACATCCATGGCTCCAAGTATGCCAGGAGCTATACCCACCTAAGGTAAGCCTTCTCTATTTTTTTTTTTATTTAAGATTTTATTTTTTTAAGTAATCTCTACACCCAACATGGGGCTTAAACTCCCAACCCCGAGATCAAGAGTCGCATGCTCAAAGGACTGAGCCAGCCAGGCCTCCCTCTCCCCCTGCCCCCCCTCCCCCCCGGCAAGCCTTCTCTCTTAACTCCTCTTGTAAGGCGCTATTCAGCAGGCACTCAACACCCAGATATTTAGAGACCCCATGCCATCTTGCACTTACTGAAATAACGCTTGTTACCATTCTTACGCCACATCATTTGAGTGGGTTTCCGCTCCCAAATTAAATTACAAGTTGCTTGAGGGATAGAACTGTGCTTTATCTCTTTTGAATCCCCCCTCAGTGTCCAGAACAGTGCCCAGCACAGAGCAGGAACTCAAGAAATGGTGGTTGGTAGTGATGGTCATGGCTGGAAGTCAGAGGACAGCTGAATCTCCACATGTGGGTCCATCTTCCGTCACTACTGAGAGAGTCCCAAGGGGCATATGTCACTCCCCTCCCACACCACCTCCAATCCCTGAGCCCACAGCCCTTCCAGGAGGACACCTAGTTTCCAGGCACCATTTGCAAGAAGCCATATTCAGCCCCTCATCATGCCCTCTTTCTTAGCAGTGTTTTTTCCCCCGTCACTACCGTGTGGGGGAATGCTCCTCTCTCATGGGCACCGCCCTTAGTTCTGGTGTAAATAAGTGAACCTCTGAGTGGTCACCAGGAGACCTCTCTGAAAGGCACGTGATTTCCTTATTTATTTTAAGGGTGGAAATGAAAAGAACTGCTGAAGCGCCCCTGAAGGCTAGATAAAAGGAGAGGGAGCGTCTGCTGGGACGAGTCCCTAGCTTCCAGCGCTCCTGCCCAGACCAGGCGCTCTCATACGGAACTCTCATATGAGTTATCAAGAGCGGCGGCAGCATCTGAACCCCAAAACAACAGGGTCCAAACGCACCAGGCCTCGATTCCAGGCAGAACTGGCTTTCTCCCTTTTCCTCACCCAACATACCGGACCCCTGCGTGGATTGTGGGAGGCAGTTGGCCTTGGGACCATTCCTGTCCCTCTGTGGAGCGTTTTCCTCATCTGTAAAGCGAGCGGGTCGACCTGGCGATCCTGAAGCCCCCTCCAGTTCGAAAACTGTCCAGACCTCTGGTCCCCCACTTCGCGCCCTCTCAACCTAGGCAGCGACGCAGAGCCCTCGTGCGGCCAGGGAACGTTTGAATCAGAGACCCTAAGTCGCAGCCAGCCGGAAAGGGCCCCCAACGATGCCGCGCCCTCTCCTCCGCTCGGGTTTCACAGATCAGCGAGCTAAGCCGGGGGACTCCCGGGTGGAGCGGTGTTCGAATCCCAGTCGCTGCCCGCCCCTCTCGAGCCTTGCTTCTCCCCACCCTGGCGGCGCGTGGCCCCTGTTCACCGCCCCGGAGGCACTGGCCCTCCCGCCGCCCTCCCGCTGCCTGTGCAGTGACTGCAGGCCCGCACTCGCCGCTGCAGAACTGTGTACACAGCCGCCATGGCAACGGGCCGTTTCCGCAGATCCCGGAAGTATCGGGGTAGTGGCGGAAATGAAGTTCGCGGCCTGGGAGAGATACGATTAAGGCCAGGGCCGAATCGGGAAGACGGGAGATGGGACCGGTTAATCTAGAAAGACTGCGGCAGCTGCAGGCGCGAAAGCACGGTCTGGACAGCGAGGGAACGAAAGCTAGGCTCGCACCCGGAAACGGGGCAGCGGGGCTTCCGGCGCAGAGCCTCCTGAGACTACGGCAGCCGCGCAGGCCCGCGTGCTTCCAGCCCAGCGCTCCGGGCGGCGGACGGCGCGGGCCCTAGCCCCGCCCCGTTTAATATCGAGCCGGCCGGCCAGGCCTGCGCAGTCGCGGCGGCCGGGGAAGATGGTGGAGGACGGCGCGGAGGAGCTGGAGGACCTGGTGCACTTCTCCGTGTCCGAGTTGCCTAGTCGCGGCTACGGCGTCATGGAGGAGATCCGGCGGCAAGGCAAACTGTGCGACGTGACGCTGAAGGTACCGAGGGCTGGGCAGCGTGGAACTGAGGGATAAGGAGCCGAGTGGGGAGGAAAGAGGGGCGGGGGTAGGGGAAGAGAGGTCTAGCGGACAGAGCGGTGGGGCAAGGGGGTTGGAGGGAGATCGAGTAGGGGACAGAGAGTTGCGGAGTGGGAGAGAGGAATTGGGGCTGAGTGGGGAGATGGACAGGGACAGCTTCTCAGCCCTTAGAAGGACAGGCTGAGAGGAGCGCGGCTGAGGCCCTCGGGGTGGGAGACATTGGGGTGCCCGCCTCCCTTTTCTGTCACACAGACGGGAGAAAATGGACTTGCAACCCCTCTGGAGAGGAGGGGGCGGTGGCCGCCTCTACATTCTGATGGGCACCAGTGAAGCACCCTCTCTTGTCACCGTAGACATTTCTTTGTGCCCCTCGAAGTTCGCTGTGCCGTTGTAAGGCGCAGGCTTCTCCTTCGGAGTCATTGCTTGCCCTTGATTGTTAGATTACTCCTTGTTTCTTAAGAGCTTTTAAAATCGGATCTGGACATCTTTTGAGGTGGGCATTTACTCTGCCCCCCACTGGAAGGTGCACCACCACCACTACCTCCACAAAGGTCTCAGAGGATGGATTGGGTCTGCGTCGGGGGGTGGGGGGGAGGGATTCCTTAACCACCTGTTCCCTACTGGCATCCTGGGCCCAAGAGCCAGACTTCCTCCCGTGCTTTGCATCTGGAGAGGCATGCGGTGCTGCTCCTTGGCCTCACTCCTGAGTCCTCTGGAGCCCTCCACGTGGGAAGGTGCTGCTGTGAACTGTGTTCCCTGTTGGGCTTTGGCTGGAAGGCTCTCAGCATCTGTGGAGGACCACATGAAATATATATACACATGCAGCGATCTTTTTGCCCTGCTTGTTTTCTACAGAATTAAGGAAACTTTTCTTTTTCCCGTATTTGAGTCAGACCTCGAAACAGGAGAGTAGAATGCTTAAGAGTGTGGAGATGGAAGGATTTGGATTAAAATCCTAGTGATAACCTTGGGCAAGTTTCTTAATCTCTCTAAGCTTCAGGTTTCCAAATTTAAAAACCGGGATGATTTCTAATTCTCAGTATTAGTGTGAGGATTCAGTGAGAAAATTTGTAGTGTTCTTTGCATGATGCCTGCCTTAAGTTTTTCATCCTCCAAAGGAGGTTGGTTTTCTAGGAGAGGAGTGAAGTGGCGTGAGAGGGAAAAGGATCTTTAGCGGGGAACCAAGGGGTTTGAGAAAAATGAGCTGGACTAAAGGAGGCAGAGGAAGTAAATATAAATGAGAGATTTTTGTCCATGGTGATAACATGGTAGAAGATGTCGCGGCTCCTAAAGGTTTGTAAGCAGAAGAATGATCTGGTTGTGGCAGTAACACTTGGAGTGAGTAGAGACTGGTGAAAAGCAGTAATAGGGGAGAATTTGGGGGTTAAGATTTAGGCTGTAAGCGTGAGCCAGGGAAAGCTTGTGAGACAGGGAAGCAAAAAGGGTATGATAGAGGGGGATGGTTACAGATATTTGCTACATAGAGTGAAGCAGGGTGTTTTGGCCTCTGCATTTAATGCAAATACAGAATGTAACAACCCTTTAGCATAGGAATGCTTGTGTGATTTTTTTTTCCCATTACACTGCTTTTTGTTCATTCAAAGGGACAAGAAAATTATCAGAGGTAGTTCCAACTGAGAGTGTCTGTCTAAATTGCTGTGTTTTAAGCATCTGGGACATAAGGACTAGTATAAAGGGACAGGTGGAGCTGGGCAGGACCTAGAGAGCGTTTGCTTCATTGGTTTTCTAACTCTTCTGTACAGCCGGAGGAGTAGCTCACGGCAGTGTGATGGTGGGGGCCAGGGAGAGGCCAAACAAACCAGGCTCTCTTTCATTTCACCCCCTTTCACTAGAGCTGCTCTTGTGAAATCTGTTTTGGTCTCTCTCTCTCTCTCAGGATAGAGTCTTTCCTGAAACTTCTGATGTTTCCGGACTGTCTTCCAAATAAATAGGTACTGAAAGGTCAGTTGGAAGCTTTTTGGTGTGGGATGGATTTATTGACTAGTGGGCTAGGGCAGTGCTTCTCAGTCTTTACCAAGTATTAGAATCACCTGGTGGCCTGTTCGCACATTGGTTGTTGGACCTCACTCCAGAATTTTTTATTCAGTACGTCTGGCATGGGCCTGAGAATTTACATTTCTGACAAATTCCCCAGTAATGCTACTCCAGATGATAAACCTCCAGTCTTTTGCTGGGGTAGTACTAGTACTGCCTGACTTCAGCCTCCTGTATGCTCACACCTTCAGAGGAAACCTGAGTCTCCAACAGTTGAGGTTTGGAAGGGACTCCGAAGTGGCTTGTCATGTGCAGCACTCAGTGTTCTGCATCGAAGTCAGTCACTACTCATCTTCCAAAGTTTGGTGATATTTTTGATCTGCTCTCTTTGTTTCTGCTTCTTTTTCCTTGGGAGCTTTGCTGTTCCTTAATTGTCAGTCTGAGAGGTGGTATAGCATAGACTCAAGCCAGACTGCCTGGGTTGGAATCCTGGCTCTGCCACTTACTAGCTGTGGAAACTTGGGCAAGTTCCTTAAACGCTGGGGACTCAGTTCCTTCTCCTGTAAAATGGGCATCATCGCCTCCCTAATAAGAGTGTTAGGGATTCCATTAGTTAATACACTTAAAACAGTCATGTAGTAAATGCTCAGTCGCAGCAGGTATTTATGAATAATGACAATTTTATGAATAATAACGATGGGGTTTCTAGAGAGAGAAGAAAGAAATGGGTATGTTCAACCTGCCATTTTGAATTTGTTTTAGCTTCTGATGAATTCTGGATGATTTTATCTAAACATAATGTTCATTGTCTTAAAAGAGTTTGCAGACCACTGCTCTGCTTCAGTAAACTGCATTTTACAGATGAGAACCCAAGCCCAGAGGAAGGGACTCGTTCAAAGTCACAGATGGAGTTCGGTGGAGCTAGGACTAGAGACCGGAATCCTGGTCTCTGTTCTCCTGCTCAAATGTTCTTTCATGCTCTCCTGTGGCCTCTTCTATCACTGGGAGTGACGGAACTGATTCCAGCTGCTACCATGTGAATTAGTCTATCTCCGGTCAGTTGTACTCAACAACTGATCCGTCTTTTCTGTCTTCCCAAGCTTTAGGGAGTGTGTGAAAGTTAGCATTAGCAGGTATGACGCATTCTCAAAATTCACTGCCAACTCTCAAACCTTACTTAATTTTGTTTTTGGAAATATTTGAAATTTAAATTCCTTGGGCACCTGTTGGATAATTAAGAAGAGGCAGAACAGGAAGGGTAATAATACTGGATTTTAAAAATCACATTCTATGTCTATGTTGACTTGAACCTTTTTTTAAAAACTGAAAATGAACCCTCTCCCCAGAAAAATGCACATACTTAACATACATGCAAAATTTTGTGTTCAGTCTTAAGAGCAATTCCTAAGGCCTGTCTCTGGCTCATGGGTTAATGAATCCAGCTGAGTATTGTTTTCCTATCAGAAAAAGCCCATGGTCCGTCTACATGACAAATCATTTTATCTTAAAAGTTAGGAGGATAGCAGTGCAAGACTTCTTGGCAACCTATAGCATCCGGCTTGGTCTGGGCAGAGAGGTTTGCATCCTTTGTGGTTCTCATCCCCTCTTCCCATCAGCCGGTTTCCTCTCCTTTCCTCTGGGCTACCAGTTGCCCAGTGCTCAGGCCGCATCTACCAGATTCACGGGGTCCAGCAAGTTAGGCAGGCTCCCCAGATTCAATAAGTGTTCACCACAGTTTGTTATTTATAAGATCTAGACCCACCACTTTAACATTTTTCTATTCTCCCCTCACCTCACATTCTCCTTTTTCTTTATTTGTGAGAGAAGAATGGGGTCACCAAACCTGCGTATTATTCACTGACCCATAAGCTTAGCAGAGGAGCTTCCTACTCTCTCTCTCTCTCTCTCTCTGTTTTGCAACTACTAATGAACTTCATTGATTTGCTGGCATCGGTCTTCTAGCATTTTCCCAAGGCCCCTGTTAAGATTTTGAACCCAGATCTGAGAATTTATCCTCCAGAAGGAAATGTCTTTTCCATGTGTAAAAGGCACAGTATTAGAATATTTCCTTTTGACCCACTAAATCCAGGTACACAGTTCGCGTTGAAACTGGCTTTAAGAGCCACACATTTGAGTCTAGAATCTTGCCTCATTTGCTCTCACACTGGTTTGGTGATGAAAGAGTATGTGGAAGAGGATATCAGGAAGTGAAGTAAGGACTTGCTGGTGCATGCCCTTTTTATGTTCTGTGTGGTGTAGTGAGTTACACAGGTATAATTAGAGAGCTGGGAGACTCCTCTGAAAAGGAGCCACAGAGGTCCTCTATCAAAGCCATTCATTTTAAAAGATTAAAAAACCCTGAGGCTTAGAGATATTAAGGGATTGCCCAAGGCACAAAGCTGTATTATCTGGGATCCAGCATAGCTGTTTGTTGGTGGAAGGAATGCTTTTGCATCCTCTGTCCGATTACTCACCTGCCCTGCTGATTTTATGAAGCAGAGCAGGGAACACAAGCCATCTGCAGTGTCATTTCCGAGCATGGAGGACAGCGATGTGTATGTCCAGTTGCAACACCATTGCTCTATTTCAGGAGAGAAGAGAGATGCAGACTTAATTGGCTAGTCTTTTGCACAATTGAATTCTGGACTCTCTTGATTTTGAAATGGCACCGCATTGGAAAACTTGTGCTTCTGAGTAGTGTTCATTCCCTGGTGTTTTCTACTGACTCTTCCCAGGCATTTGTGTTCATTTGCAGCCTTGCGTCTTTTTAGTGAACAGTTAGAACCGAGAAGAAGAATGTGCTCCTTGACAGGAGCACTTAGGATATGAATTCATATTCATCGAAAAGTCAGTTTTGCTCTTTCTCAAGTTATGTTGTGGGTCATGCTGTTACATTTGGACACCAATCAGAAGATGAGAGAGCTTGCTGCTGCCTGATGTGTGGGTAGGGAAAGGGAGTTGGAGGCATCCTGGAAAATCAGTTACCACCCAAGCAGCATTCATGGGGTTCACCCTGAGGTTTCTGCGTGAATTTAAGAAGCCTGTATTCAGGGATGTTTCTCATGGCAGGCGGTTCCTTTATGGTTTTGTACATGAGACTCCATTGTTTGCCCCTTGGCCACACCTGGTTCAACTTAGAGGCTGGTTGATGGAAAATGAGATCACATTTTTCTAAAGGTATGTTCCTAGCCCCTTCTACATTGCAAGCCTGGCATCTCCTGTCCTACTTTTGATTTGTTGAGTGTTGGCATTTCTGTTGCCTCTTTGGTATAGAGCCAGCCAGTTTCCCCACAGTTTAGGAAGGCCTCTTCCACATGAACAGCTGACCACATCAGCACTCGTTTCCAGCTGGGGAGAAGAGAATGTACCAAGATGTGTGAACCAGGAGTTGGCAAGCATTTTCTGTAAAGAGCCAGGTAGTAAATATTTTAGGATTTGTGGGTCATACAGTTTCAGGTGCAACTGCTCAGCTCTGATGTTGTGGCGCCAAAGCAGCCATGCATAACACATACATGAATGGGTATGGCTTTGTCCCATTAAAACTTGATCTACAAAAACAGGTGTAGGCCAAACCCGTTGGCTCTGGCTGGCAGACCCCTGTTGTATAGTGATATGGCCTCTGTCAAGTTTAAGGCTTTTGAAGTAGGTTACACTTGCTTTATGGCCCCAGCATACGCTTCTGTCATTCCAGCACAATATCTAGCAGTTGGAAGCATCTCTTGTTAACGAGTACAGATGAACCAGAAGTGAAGAACTTTTTCCAGCTCACTGCAGGTGATCATGGGACTATCCTGGTTGGTGACTGTGAATAACTGACATAGGAGAAGTTACTGCTAAATTTTGCATCTCATCTTTAAAAGTCTTGTAGCTCTGCTGGAGCTTGAAGCAGACTGTTTCCAAAGCATTAACTAAAGACACCATGCTCCCTTTCTGTCTCAGTTGAAGCTGAGGATGCTTAGCTGCTTGCAGAATGGCAGGCCAGAGGAGACCGTGTTGGCTCCTGTGTTCCAGTGGACCTGACCGGCTGTGTTCAGGGCCGTGAAGGTAAGGGCCAGAGTTGGGGCTTCTGGCAGGCAAAGTAGAGAGTTCACATATGGACCAGTATGTCTGGGCAGTGTGCTGCATATCTGATCAGAACACAAAAATGCTTTTCAAAAAATGAGCTCAAGAATAGGTATTTGTATATATTCATAGCAGAATTACTCACAATAGCCAAAAGGTAGAAGTAACCCAAGCTGTACCGACTACCGACAGTTGACTGGATAAACAAAATGTACTCCCATTTTGTTGAAATGCATACAGTGGAATATTATGCAGCCTTAAAAATGAAATTCGGGGTGCCTCACTGGCTCAGTGAGTAGAGGGGCACCGGCCTTGATCTCAGGATCATGAGTTCAAACCACATGTTGGGTGTGGAGCCCACTTGATTGAAAAAAAAAAAAGAAAGAAATTCTGACACCTGCTACAACGTGGACGAACCTTAAAGACTTTATGCTGAGTGAAATAAGCCAGTCATAAAGGGACAGACACTCTATGATTCCACTCAAAAGAAGTAACCAGAGTACACAAAGAAAGTAGAATGGTGGTTGCTCAGGGACTGGGAGGAGGAGGGAATGGAGAGTTAGTGTTTAATGGGGACAGAGTTTTGGTTTGTGAAGATGAAAAAGTTCTGGAGACAGATGGTGGGGATGGTTGCACAACAGTGTGAATGTACTTGATGCCACTGAACTATATGCTGGAAAATGGTTAAAATGGTAAATTTTATGTTATGTATGTGTTACCACAATTTTTTAAAAAGCTAATCTCAAGATGGGCAAGTGAGATTTCTTATAGTGCTGTGATTGCAGAGACCCTAAAAACAGAAGCTGGCTGTGTGTCCAAACCCACTGATGAGAAACATGGGATACTAAGGAGTAATCGTTCCTGTTCTTTCGCTTTTGTAGTGTGCTGCCTCAGCTCTTGAGAGCCAGATTTTATCAGCTCAGCCCTGTAGCCACACTTCCAACGGTCACTTAAAAGGAATCGATTTCTAAGAGATACATATTTAAGTGATGCACACATGCACACATGTCGTAAGCTTATTTTTCCTGTGCTGATTTGTAAAGTCTTAAGTGTCCCATAACCTTGACAGAGCTATCCTGAGGACCAGCAAAACACTGCTGACATGTCTTCCAAGTAAAGGTTTGTTGGCATACTATTACAAATGGCTTTCAAATCTATGTTTGTTTTGCTTATTTTGCTCCTAAATACTAGACCTGCATTTCATTTGTCCTGTTGATCCTCATGCTAATTTATGTCTCGAATGAAGGCTCTTTCCCTCCTAAGCCATGGCTGCTTTTGTTCAATTTGTGTATGGATGGCACACCATCCATGTAGTCAGGATTGAAACTCTGGAATCGGCTTTGGCTCATCCTGTGTCTTTTCTGTGTGTTTTGTGGCATTAATCACAATGACAATGACACAATTATTTAGAGTATCATAACTCCATGAGAGCAGGGGCTGTGACTGAATTGACATGTCTATATAACAGGCCCTTAGTAAACCAGTGTTCCAATTCAGATCCTCTTCATCTTTTCCCTAACCCAGGATTTCTTTTTTTTTTTTAATTTTTTTTTTAAGATTTTATTTATTTATTTGACAGGGAGAGACAGTGAGAGCAGGAACACAAGCAGGGGGAGTGGGAGAGGGAGAAGCAGGCTTCCCACGGAGCAGGGAGCCCGATGTGGGACTCGATCCCAGGACCCTGGGATCATGACCTGAGCCGAAGGCAGACGCTTAACGACTGAGCCACCCAGGCGCCCCCTAACCCAGGATTTCTTAAGTAGCGTATTGAGAGAATTCTTACAGACACTTTAGGGGATGGTCCTCGTGCAGCTACCGGACTGTTTTTCCCCAGGCTCTGGTCCGATCCTGTAGTTCTCCAGCTCTGAATGGCTTCCCATTTCATTCTCATTCCCCAGGGTACTCAGCAGATAGGTCAGCACCTTCCATGTGCCCAGCACTGTTCCACGTGCTGGGCACATGGCTGTGAGCAGGGTAGGCAACGCCTCTGAGCGTGAGCTTCCATTGTGGTGGGGGATAGAGTGGCAGACAATAAACAAATACGGATAAAATGTCCAGTGATGATTAGTGCCATGAAGAAAAATAAAGCAGGATAAGGAGACTGGGAGTGTTATTTTTGTTAGAGGGGGCAGCACCAGCCTCTCTCAGTAGAGATCTGAATGAAATGAGGGAACGACCCATGAGCATATCTGAGGGAAAGTGTTGTAGGTGGAGGCAATAGTGAGCACAGAACCCTGAGGCAGGAGCGCACTTGGTGTTTTGGGAAGCATCAGGCAGCTGGTGTGATAGGAGCCAAGTGACCTGGGAGAAAAGTGGAAGGATATGAGGTTGGAGAGGGAGACCACTAGGCTCACGTGGCTCAGTGAATACTTGCTGAATTTAATAAGTGAATGAACGAATGAAGCTAGACAGTCATTACTCATTTATTTGTTTATGAGTGAAAAATCAGAGCAGGGTGCTTGAGGCATAACATAAGAAAGGTAGGGTGCATTTTCTGGTGTTCGTGAAGAGAACACAGAGTTTCACCTGGACTCTTCACAGGAGACATGGTGCTAATGGCCAGCGCTAGAGAGACCAGTTCTGGCTTGTTCTTGAAGTCACTTCTATTTGTACCACAGAGAAAATCAGAGGTGAGAGACTTGCCAGGGGAGCAGGAAATAGACCAGGGCTGCTCAACTCTTGGTGGTTTAAAAGGTGCTCCTACTCATGTTCGGGATAGCTTGTCATGTTTCCCCTGCCCATAGGCTGCCCCTTTAAGTGGTCAGGACGTCTGGGGAGAGCCGCGGGGTGGTAGGTGGCTGGAGTGCCAGAGCAGCAGGTGGGGGCTGGTTTTCTGAAGGATTAAAGGAAAGGCTGCTGATTTAACCGCATCTCTGATTATTCTAAGCTGCTCACAGAAATCCGTCACTGCGTCACTGCATCTGTGAGACGTAAGAGAGAAGCTTAAGCATGTCCTGTTGGTGCTGACCGCCACTCCTGGTTGACTTTTCTAGGACCGCAGGCCGTGTTCTTGATATTCAGGATCCTCCAGACCGGGCCGCCTCTCCGTTCTTCCCTAGTTCCCGCAGGCTCCTCCTGCTGGCTGTGCCTTCATGACCTGTCGTCTCCAACTTCTGAGCCGTGGCTCTAGCATTGCTCTGACTTGGAGCATCGCTCACCTGTGCCAGCCATCTTTTCTTTCTTTTTTTTTTTTTTTTTTAAGATTTCTTTATTTGACAGAGAGACAGCGAGAGAGGGAACACAAGCAGGGGAGTGGGAGAGGGAGAAGCAGGCTTCCTGCCGAGCAGGGAGCCCGATGCGGGGCTCGATCCCAGGACCCTGGGATCATGACCTGAGCCGAAGGCAGACGCTTAACGACTGAGCCACCCAGGCGCCCCTGTGCCAGCAATCTTACCTGTGCTCCAAGGCTCCTTTCACATCTACTTTTTTTCTCAGGGGGAAAGAAGTGGCCAGACACTCCTTCCTCTGTTCTCCTGAGGCACTTTGCGTTGTGTCTGTTCAGCATTGTCTTGTGGTCACACACCACATGCCTGTCTGTTTCTGAGAAGCACAGACCCGAGCCATCTTCTTTCTTTGGCCCTGCCCTCTTATGGGGGGGGTGGTGTGAAATCCCATCTCCTGGGAGTCTTCTCATATCCTTTCAGGTGCACTCAATCTCCCTCTTCCTTTGGACCTTAACCCCTCGTTACTTAGTATTGTCCTTGCATCCGTGTCGCCTGAGAGCCCGTTTGGAATGCAGACTCTCTGGCCTCACATCAGACCTACCGAACCAGAATCTGGTGACTCTTCCACCCTGTGCACACAAAGGTTTGAGAAGCATTGCTTTCACACTTTGCCCCTACTCCCCTTACTGTACTGAACACAGTGTAGATGTGCCTGCGTGATCACTCTTCCTGTCCAGATGTCGAGCTCCTGTGGCCTGTGAGGCATCCATTATCCAGCACAGTTCTTGGCATGTTTCAGGTGCTCAAAAGTGTTGGCTGTATTACCCGAAAGGGCCCCTGGTATTATGTTTGAGATGCTCCTTCAGTCAGCCTGTTAATGAAGTGCATAACTGCATGGAGCTTTGCTAGGTGCATGAGGCACCCTGCTGTGGAGTGGGCATCGGCCCCTGTCTTTGGCATTTAAAGATCAATCGATGAGGGAGAGGGATGCCCATAATTAATTATGAGACGGGCAGGGTGTGACACGTTCTGTAACTGCACAGCTATTACCGGAGGCCTAAGGGAACACCAAAGGAATGGCAGTTATTTCCAGTTCACAGGATTTATGATGGTTTTGTGCAGAGGATGGTGTCTGATTGGTGCCTTGGAGGATGAATAGGACTTTGACAAATAGACACTGTGGGAGGAGGCATTCCAGGCTGGGGAGAGCCAGTTCAAGGGCTCAGGCATGAAAGTGCACACACGGGATGTTTCTTGAACAAGTAAGAGATTGAGGTGGAAGGTGTGATTGGGGAGGTGGGTGAGTGTAGACTGAACTTGAATTCTTTTTTTTTTTTTTAAGATTTTATTTATTTATTTGACAGAGAGAGACACAGTGAGAGAGGGAACACAAGCAGGGGGAGTGGGGGAGGGAGAAGCAGGCTTCTGCTGAACAGGGAGCCCAGTGCGGGGCTCGATCCCAGGACCCTGGGGCCATGACCTGAGCTGAAGGCAGATGCTTAACGACTGAGCCGCTCAGGCGCCCCTGAACTTGAATTCTTGTAGTGTGGAGTCTGGACTGGTAAGGAACATCTGTAAATCACATGCTGGTAGGACAGTTAGCTGTTCAGTGGTTTCTATGGACTCTGCCCTCCTGTCTCCCCCCCTTCTCACATTCTACCTTGCTGGACGTGGGTGGGAGGCAGGGGAAGGGCTTGGGAGGGGTGGGACAGGCCTGAATGTTTTACCTGGCTCGTCACTCGCTCTGTATGAGACCATGGCCCACATCTTTTTTTAGTCCTAGCTGGTCAGCCACTTCCTCCCTCACCCCCTTCCGGA